AGTGGGTTGGGCAGTTGAACATCCCTTGAGGAGTCCCAGATTGGAGAGGGTGCAGGTTGGGCTGAGGGACTTCCCCCACCCCGTGCGCGAATTTTGTGCACCGGGCCTCTAGTTACTAGTATATTTGCTTTATTGGAAACGTCAACGAGAGAGAAACATCGACCAGCTGCCTCTTCCACACCCCCTACTGGGGCTGTGCCGACAACCAATGTACATGCCCTTGACCGGAATCGAACCTGGGACCTTTCAGTCTGCAGACCGACGCTGTACCACTGAGCCAAACCGGTTTTGGCTATTTTTTAGAATATAAAATGTTAAAGGTAGTAATGCATTCTGTAAGTTTTGTGTAATTTTTTAATATTATAAAATTTTACTGCCAAAAATTTTTAATTTATTGATGGGAGAGAGAAAAACATCGATTGGATGTCTCCTGTATGCATCCCAACCAGGAATCAAACCCACAACCTGGGTATGTGCCCTGACCCAGAATTGAACCAGTGGCTTTTCAGTGCACGGGACAGTGCTCAACTAACCGAGCCACAGAAGCCAGGGTCCAAAGTGCTGATACCTGAAATTTTCCTGAAGTTAAAAATTAAGGACTTTTCAAAATAGCTGGCAAGGAAGCTATCAGAGATTACTAGGATAGTGCCAAAAGGACACAGGTGTCAATTTGAAGAGATTACTAGCCAAAAATGGGACAGTCTGAGCATTAATCAAGGCAATGACTTGAAATACATAAAATAATGTCTATATCTGTGAAATCATAACAGTACATGCTCACACACAAATTAATCATCACTACTGTAGGATGGTAATGAACTCATTATTTTGAGAACTAAAAAATAAGGGAGAGTTAAGTATTTAGCCTGATTTTCCTATATGAACTATACTGCTGAATAACCAAATAAATGAAGGGAATGTTCTCTTTGTAGAAGTATTTGATGAATAATAAAGAAGTGACAAAATTCACTATTTTGTAACCGTCTAATGAATTAATGGTTCTAGGCTTTGAACAACAGCATACACTGTCACAGATAGACAATCAAATATGTGACTTTTGATGAAAGAACTCATCACTACCTAAACAAGTAGTGTTGTAATAAAAAGAACCAGAATTTGGATAAAGCCTTTATTTTTTTATCTTTTATTGATCTTTAGAGAGGTAGAGGAAGATGGATTTGTTTTCCATTAATTTATGCATTTATTGGTTGATTCCTGTATGTGCCTTGATGGGGATCAAATCAGCAATCTTGGTGTATTAGGATGATCTTTAACCGAGATACCAGGGCCAGATAAAGCCTTTAGTTCCATCAATTTATAGAACATGATAAACTATACAGAGAATTAAATCAACAAAATTTAGATTGGAAAACTACCAGGACAAAAATTTTGGACAAATAACTTGGTCTCTTCAATATAAAAACTGCTCTTTAAAAAAAAAAAAAAAAAAAAAAAGACACCTTGTAGCTTAAAAGAGACTTAAAAGGTATCTGTCAGTCACAGTATGTATACCTTGTTAAGATCTGTTCACACACACAAAAATTGTAATACCTATAACAACTGGAATTTGGAAATTGATGATATTAAGAAATTGTTATTAGTTTTTACTGTTAAAAGTTCTTATTTCTAAGAATTCATCCTGAAATGTTTATGAATGAAACTAGAGACCCAATGCATGAAGTTTGTGCAAGGGGCTTGGCTTCTGCTGCTGCATAGGTGGCCACCTCTGCCTCTCCCCACCCCCCAACCTCCGCCGAGAACACTGCTGCGGCTTCCTCCGGAAGGATGCCTGGCCTAATTAGCATATTATGCTTTTATTATTATAGGTTTTTTTAATATCTGAGTTTTGCATCAATTAATATGGAGGTGAGGAGATACTAATATAGATAGAAATGAGACAAGGTTGACTATGAGTTGATACTTATTGAAAGAAGGCATTAAGTATGTGGATGTTTATTGTACAGCTTTTTATACCTTTGCAGATGTTTGAAAATTTCTATAATAAAATGTTTTAAAGTCTATAATAAAATGTTTTAAAATCTAAGGAGGAAAAAAAAAAAACAACACCCCAAGGACCAAGTCATGGAAACATTGTCATCTCCTGAAGAAGGACTTTTAAACTGTGGAGTAATCCCTCTTTCAACACCTTGGTTCAGTCTCTATAAGATCATTTCATCAGTGGGTGAGGGGGAAAAAAAAGGTGGTGTGGCATAGTGTCTTTGTTATGTAATAATCACAATAGATACTTCAAATAGGGCTGACAAGGCAACACTATTGGCCTGCTGTGAAGGTGCTTTCCTGGAGGATGGGTTTCTTGGGAGAGTTTGCTTTAGCCTTTGCTTCACTAATTTTCCTGTAGCCTACATATTTTAATGTGCAAGAAGATACACTGTTATATTTAATTTTCTCAGCCTTTAAGAAGTAGAGGCAAGTGACCAAAACTATACTGGGCCTTCAACAGTTATTTGCCAAATGAAAAAGTACATTGACATCAAGAAGTTTTTAAAGCAAATAAGTTCCAAGCCTGAAACAAATGAATACTTATGCTGCCTCTGCCCCTTATGCTTTTAAATTTATCTTCAACATTTACAGTACTTTATGTTCCTGACGAATTTGCTAAGCCATTAAGAAAATACTTATTTTCACTTCAGAAGGCATATATCTGCCTTCTGATCTTACATTTTGTAAGATAATTATTAAGTATTTAGATAAGTTGTTTTTTTTTTAATCATTGGATTTTTAAAATATATTTTATTGATTTTTTTTACAGAGAGGAAGAGAGAGGGATAGAGAGAAAAATCTATGAGAGAGAGTCATCGATTAGCTGCCTCTTGCACACCCCCTACTGGGGATGTGCCCGCAACCAAGGTACATGCCCTTGACCGGAATCGAACCTGGGACCTTTCAGTCCGCAGACTAACGCTCTACCATTGAGCCAAACCAGTTTTGGCAATTTAGATAAGTCTTAACTCTTAAATACTTAACCAGCTACTTTTGGAAAAACAATTATCTCATGATATAATTTAATACATCTAAACCTTTAGAGAATACAGGATGTCCCCCCCCCAAAAAAAATGTATACACACTTTAACAACTGATAGCTCAATTTTGAAAATGAAATGTATTGTAATAAACGCTGTGTTTATAATTATTCAGAGTGGCCCTAGGCAGTTTGGCTTAATGGATAAAGCATCAGCCTGCAGACCAAAAGGTCCCAGGGTCAATTCCACTCAAAGGCATGTACCTCTGTTGCAGGCTCCTCCTAGGCTCTCCTGGCCCTGGTTGCCTCCCAGGTCAGGGCTTGTGTTGGAGGCAACCAATTGGTAGGTTTCTCTCACAATAATGTTTCTCTGTCTTTCCTCTCCTACTCACCCTAAAAATCATGGAACAAATATCCTCGCGTGAGGATTAACAAAAGTTATTTAAAGTGTGTGTATACATTTTCTAGGGACACCTTATATATGTTATTGCTGGACGTTGGGCACCATTTATCACCAGTGGGTCTTAATCTTGCATGTAGAAGGGTTCTGGAATCTGGAGAAGGGGCTGTGCATAAATTAATAAAGAGTCCAGCAACGAAATGTAATTTTGAAAGGCATTAAGGGGGCGGGAGCAGAGGAACTTGGCTAAAGAAACCAAGTTCTTGTCTCAGGACCCCTTGCTTTTTATTAAAACAATTTGTCCTAAGGCAAGGTGGAGATATACCCATCAAAAGTCAGAGTTAGCCAAAACTGGTTTGGCTCAGTGGTAGAGCATCGGTCTGCGGACTAAAAGATCCCAGGTTCGATTCCGGTCAAGGGCATGTACATTGGTTGAGGGCTCATCCCCGGTAGAGGGTGTGCAAGAGGCAGCTGGTTGATGTTTCTCTCTCATCGACGTTTCTAGCTCTCTATCCCTCTCTCTTCCTCTCTGTAAAAATAAATAAATAAATAAATAAAATAAATAAAAACAAACTGTTAAAAAAAAAAAAAAGTCAGGGTTAGTCTACAGAGTCCATTGTCAGACTGGGAAATTGCCTGTGGCTGTTCAGGTGTTTGGCCAACAGGAGGCAATAACATGTAGATTAAGAAGCTGTGAGGTGTCTGGCAGCAAACAATTTATGTATCCCTTTTCGGGTTTGGGGAAATGCCTTTAGCCATTCCAAACAGATGATAACATATTTGACTCAGCCCTTGTTAAGTCCTCAAGTTCCATCAACCTTTTGATGAAACTCTTGAAATTATGACATGCTGGAATTGGCTTCCGACATGTTATAACTAGACAGGATTTGAATTCTTTTAGGAAGAATTTTAAGTAGTCGTATAAAGAAAAGAGAAGGGTCACATGAGCCTAGAGATAGACAGATTTGCTTTCTACCACTTTAGGGCAAGTGTGGAATCTTTGTTCCTTCTGTATTTCAGCCTTCTAAAGCCCATAACCAACCCAGATGCAGCAGCTGAAGTGCTTCATAATTAATATTCTATTCCCTCAATTAAAATCTCCATAACTCACTCATTGATTATGAAATGAAAGGGATAAATATGCAGCTAGTAGAAAGGAGCACTAATTTTGAGTAGTTTGGTATATGGGCATTTAAGTAGGAAACCCTCCTGACCTCCTCTGACCTCAAGATTTCTATATCTTGAAAAGTACATGCCCTTTTTTTTTTTTTTTTTTTTACGTGTAACTAACATATAAAATGAGTATTTCAGAATAGCTGAATATGAATTTTTAAAATATATTTTAAAGGTTTCCATGTGGTTAAGTTTACAAATGAGAGAAAAATGGGAGTATTATCCTTTATTTTTTTTCTTTACAAAATTATATGCCTGCATATCTAGTTGTCAGTGAAACACCTCCAGTGGAGAGAGTGGTTTGGCATTGTACATTCTGGTATCTTGAATATGAAAGTTTTACTGTTATTCTATAAAACTGTTCTTCTAATTATAGTAGGCATGTTTTATTGGGTATAAAAATTCTTGTGTTTGTTTGAAATTAAAAAAAAATTTTTTTTCCTTTAGAATGGCAGAATTTGGTGACATTTGGAAGCTTTTCAAATATGGTTCCCTGTAGTCACTCATACTTTTGTACACTGAGTCAAGTAAAGTTGTACTCTACGAATGTTCAGAAAGAAGGGCAGGGATCAAAAACTCCCCAAGTGGAAAAAATACCAACATTTGATGAAGCAGGTATGTATAAATCTTTTAAAGTCATTCTATATACTGGAATGGTTTGTTTGAGAATATTTGTTTCTTGAATATTTGATAGAACTTAACTATAAAAAAATCGTACTGATGTTTTTATACAATTCTGGAATTCTATAATTCTCTGACACTGTCCCTTCAAATGTTGTCTCTTTCCATTTCTCTTACCTCCTTTTGGAACTCTCATTAGAAATATGTTACATCTTGCTTTATTTTCCATGTCTCTAAGTCTGCCATATTTTCTATTCTGAATTTTATATTTTTATTTTTGTCATTTTTTATATTTCTATTCTGGACTATTTTTTTTAGGTCTGCCTAATTCACTAATTACCTCTTAAGTTACATCTATTCTGTTGATTGACACATATGATGGGCTTTTTCTCTGTTTCTTGCTTTCACTCATACCATTTTTGTGTTTTTTAACCAAGAGTTGTTCATTTTCTGTGCAGTTCTGTATCTTGGAATTATTTGATGTCTCTGGATTAAAGATGTGGTCCTGTATTGAGAGTTTGTTTTTGCCTTTTAGCTACTGAGAATTCAACTTGAATTCTCTGCTTTACATTTTTAGACCACATTGGTAGCATGAATTCTGAGTGCAAATTTGCATGAGGGCTGGTTTATTGTTAGGGTTTTCAGGGGAGTTTTCCCTTGCTGTGTAACGGGAAAGTAAAGGCAGGCATGCTTCCCGTTGTTCCCTTCTGTGTGTATTATTTTTAGTTCACGGTTATACCAGGTGTGTGGCTTTTTCCCCGAGTGTTTTCTGTTAGCAGACACTTTTTTTTTCTGAGTGTCTCCATTTTGAGCAGAAATAGTCATCTTCTCTGGTCTCGCATGCTTCTTGTAGCCATGAAATTCAGTAGAAGCTCAAAAAGTATAAGTTCAACAGGAATCACTAAGGCAAAAACTGGCTTTGGTTTTTTCACTTGCTCTCTAGAGGCCCAGTTTTTCCTTCGCTTTGCCCTCTTAAGAAAACTTTTTGCTACTTTAGCAATGCATTTGAAAAGATTTTGTTCAGGCTGTCTAATTTGCTGTGCAGCATTAAAAAGAAGCCCTATATTCACATATTTATTATTTTATTCAAGAAGTTTTTAATGAGTACTTTTCATATGGCAGCAAGTGAGAACCACTCTCTGAGTTTATAGTCTATTGCTAAAACAGAAAATTAAGCTAAGAAATATAATACTGTATAGTAAGTCCTTTGTTAGGGGAAATACTGTGTGCTGCAGGAACATACTGGGAAGGGCCCCTGAGCTCAAGTGGTTAGGAAAGGTTTCCATAGGAAATGATACCTAATTGGGAACTGAAGGATATCTAATTAGGTATTGGTGTGATGAGTGGTGGAAAAGAAGGTAAAAAGTACAAGTAATATAGTGTGATTGAAGTTGTGAGTAGAGGATCCTGGTGTTGGGTTAGTAGTTTTGAAAAGTCCAAGGGATGAAACTCAACAGGTAAACAGAGTAATCAGATCAGGGTTTTGTTCTGGAGTTGACTTCGTAGGCAATAGGACTCAAAATATTGGTGTATTTTAAAAATATATATATTTTATTAATTTTTTTTACAAGGAAGGGGAAGAGATAGAAAGTTAGAAACATCAATGAGATCAGCCGCCTCCTGCATACCTCCCACTGGGGATGTGCACGCAACCAAGGTACATGCCCTTGACTGGAATCGTACCTGGGACCTTTCAGTCTGCAGGCCCGATGCTCTGTCCATTGAGCCAAACCAGTTAGGGCTGGTGTATTTTTAGTAGAGGAAATACTTGACCAGATTTAAAGTTTTAGAATGATAACTAGTTGCAGACTGGAAAACAGATTGCAAAGGAGGCAGTAATACAAATAAGTGTCTAGACCAGGCTAATACAATGATTCTTTTAAAGGAGTAGATAAACTCAGGAGATTTAGGAGTTGAATAATTGGGGCTTGGTGATTGAATTTTGGGGAATGAAGGAAGGGGTCAAGTAAAGGTCAATGCTTGGTTACTGCATTGGGCAATTGTGTAGTGATTTCATTAGTTTCTAAAATTAGCAATACCAAAGCTAGATGGAGTATATTTTGAGAAGATGATTTAATTTTGGACATCTAAATTGCAGGTGCCCTTGAGACATCTTAACAGATATCTAGTAGGCAGTTGGGTATACTACAGACAATCCTCAGAGATATTGTGGGGTCAGTCCAAACCACCGCAATAAAGCAAATATTACAGTAAAGTGAGTTATAAACTTCTTGGTTTCCCAGTGCATAAAAGAGATGTGTGTACACTATGTAGTCTATTAATTGTACAATGGTCTTATGCCTAAAAAAGGTCTGCACCTTAATTAAAAAATACTTTATTGCTAAAAAATGTTAAGCATCATCCGAGCCTGCAGTGAATTGTAATCTTTTTGTTCATGTTGATGAGAACTCATTATCTGTGAAGTGCAATAAAGCAAGGCACAATAAAACTAGCTGTACCTGTACTAGTCCACTGTGAGACATCATCATCTCTTGACCGGATTACTGCAGTAACCGTTTCCCTGAGCTCCCTGCTTCCACTCTTACTTGCTCATTATGTCTCAGCCAAACCATCTCCTTCTGGTTCTCAGAAAACCAAGCTTTTTCTCATTTATAGGGCCTTTGCTCTAGGTGCTTTCTCTTTTCAAGGTGTATTTCACATGGCTGACCTCTGCTGGTCATTACATTCTAGTTGAAACGGCATCTCTGCACAACATTCTTTAATCACTCAGTCTAAAGCAGCCACCTAACCAGTCTTTAATATTATCTTAATTTTAATTCTCTTTTAAATTGTAAATTATTACTGACTGATATTTTTCTTATTTATTATTTATTTACTTACTTCTCATTTTATATTTTCTTATTTCTTATTTATTTTTCTTATTTATTAGTTTTTACTTACCTTAGGCTTTCTTTTGGAAGGTCAGGGGCTCTGACTCAGCTGCAGTTTGTAGGTAATTTTAGATTGCGAAGGGCCAGGCCATTCATATGCAAAAGCCTCTGCACACAGCTGGGATGGGGTTGTAAATTGGATGGGGTGGGGTTTCAGGGAATCAACAGGGTGGAGCAAACAGCTATGGCTGATCCTTAGCCCTGCACTAAGAGGCTCCCAGGCCTTAGTGTCCCTCGGTAAGAGGCTCCTAGGCCTTAGTTGCCAGCTCTTTCCACTAGCGTGCCTCTGTACCTCCGCACTTTACTTCCACACCTCCTCTGAGTCTCAGTGTACTTTTCTCTTTTTTTCTAGTTGTAGAATTTCCACTCAGCTAGCCTTCCTGTAGTTCTGGATGATGTTGTTTTGTCTTTTACTTGTAGTTTTTGAAGTGGTTGTGCAAGACAGCAATTTCAGGTGTTTACCTAATGCCACCATCTTGGTTTCTACTCTTACTGTGCAATTTTAGTCATTTCTTTTTCTGTGGTGATGGAAAACTGCTGGGGTAAATATTGATTGAGAATTTTGATATTAAAGAATGAAGGAATAGAGAGTGTACGAGTTCCAGAAAACCTATTTATTAGATCTTCAGATGAGAGAAGAAACAAGGGATAAAATAATATAATTAAAGGTAGATTATGTTATAATGCTCTTCTGAGGGGAACTTACACTCAGGCAAAAAAATACTTAATGTTGGTCCCGTTATACGCAATTCTTGAAATTGAAATTGAAATCTGTGAGTAGTTTCTTCTATGCTGATTGGAATAAAAATGTTAGTTTATTTTCTTATATTAGAAATATATTGTTTGTGATGGATTTATTTTGGGCTCAATATTTCAGAATTAGCTCAGGTCAGATTAGATCTTGTTAGTCATCAGGTAGACAGCAAATAATTTCTTGATTGAAAGATAATTTGTATATTTAAGAGTTTGAGATTGACTTGAATAATTCAAATCGCTTGATACAGTCAGGCACAGTTTATTAAGAGGCAGGTATTTGCTAAGGAATCCTTAAGTTTTTTTTTTTTGTTTTTTTTTTATCAATCTTTATTGTTCATATTATTACAAAGGTTCCTCATTTCTTCCCCCCTCCACCAGGTTCCCACCCCACCCTCCGTCCCCCCCCCCTATCCCCCATTGTCCTCATCCATAGGTGCAGTTTATGTTCAGTCTCTTCTTCCCTCAATTTCCCCAATAGTAAATCCCTTTTCAGATAGTAAATCAGTTACTTAGCATTTTCTCATATCAATAATACCTCCACATGCCCAATGATACACTTCACACAAAAGACATTACCCACTAGGTCAACCAGCCTCATCCAGGCCCCACCCAAGGCACTCACAGATCAACACCCCCAGCCCTATACTAACTCAACACATCCAGATCTAAGCCTTCATCACTTGATTCAGCAGACCCTCAAGTTCCCACAAAAGTTTCCAGCCATGTCTGAGAAGCAGCCATGGGGCAGGGGCAGGCAGGGAGCGAGCTGTTCTGGGCCTGGCTGCTCAGGGCCTGGCCTCTGTTGCTCTGGTTCATTCCACAACCAGCTGCTCTGGGTCTGGTCACTGCCGCTCCCGACCTAGTTGCTCTGGACTTGGCTGCTGCTGCTCCGGGCCTGGCCGCACCCGCCCCGCCTGCCCCCCCGGGCCTGGCCGCTCCCAGCCTGGCAGCCGCTGCTCCGGCCTGGCCGCACCCGACCCGCCTGCTCCCCCGGGCCTGGCCGCTCCCAGCCTGGCAGCCGCTGCTCCGGGCCTGGCCGCACCCGACCCGCCTGCTCCCCCGGGCCTGGCTGCTCCCAGCCTGGCAGCCGCTGCTCCGGGCCTGGCCGCACCTGACCCGGCTGTTCTGGGCCCGGCTGCCCCGGGCCCGGCCGCTCCGAGCCTGGCCACTCCCGACCTGGATGCTCTGGGCTTGGCTACTGCTGTTCTGGGTCTGGCTGCTCCCACCCCGGCTGCTCTGGGCCTGGCCTCTTCGGGCCCGGCCACTCCGGGTCTGGGTGTTCCTGGACTGGCCACCCTGGGCTTGGCTGCCTCCGCCTCATGCCTGGCTGCCACTGCCCCAGGTCTGGCTACTCCAGTGCTGGCTGTTGATGCTCTGGTTCTGGCTGCTGTTGTTCTGGGGCCTGGCCGTTGCTGCTCCGGGACTGGCTGCCACTGCCTTGTGCCTGGCCATTCTAGGCCTGGCCGTCGCTGTTCCAACATTCTGTCCTTTTTTTTTCTTTTTAAAACGCATTTATGTTGCAATGTTGGCTGGTGAGTTGAGTTCTGACTTAGTCTTTGATTTTTCAAGATCTTCTTTGTATTCTTTCTTAAGTAATTTTACTATTTTTTGCTCTCACTTGATTTCTTCACATTGAGAACTTCTTTGGTTTCTTCCTCCTTGTCCTGGGAGCTCAGCAGGTTGGCCTGTGGCACTCCTTTGTTCTCCGCGGGCTCCTGTGCTGCTTCAGCCTGTTGCCGGGATGGCGCCGCCCAGGAAGCAGCCCCCGGCCTTGGCTCCATTGCCCGAGCTCAGTGGTCAAAGGCTCAGGGGCACCCACGCCCCCAGGGGCCCCGTGGCCAGCCTCCTTGCTGGTGCCCGGTTGGCTGGAGTCCGGCAGGGGCTTCCGCTCCCCTCCACGTTCCCCCAGCCTGGAGCTTTTTTTTTCTCCTTCCCTCTAGGGAAGTCCAGCATCAGAGTCAACAGACTGTCCTCTGCGCGCAGTTTGCGCGAGTCCCACAGACTGTCCTCTGCGCGCAGTTTGTGCGAGTCCCCAGGGCACGGCCTTTCGCCGCTCTCCCGGACTCCACCTCACAGCCCCGTCTCCCTCTGCCTGAGCCTGGGTCCCCAGGGATTGGCCCAGAACTGGGGTTCGGAGCAGTCCGGACTGAGGCCCAGCGCCGCCGGAGGCCTTGTTTCTTCTGGCTAGGGCAACCCAGCATCAGAGTCAACATTCAGTCCTCTGCGCGCATTGCGCGCGACTCCCGGGGCCCTGCCTTTCGCCGTTTTTCCGCCTCACAGCCCTGTCTCCTCCTGCCAGAGCCTGGGTCCCCAGGGTCTGGCCCATAACTGGGGCTCAGCGCTGCCGGTTCGGGGGGGCTCAGCGCTGCCGGTTCGGGGGTTCAGCCCAGGCTGGGGGTTTTATTTCCTTCCTGCTAGGGAAGGAAAGGCGGCTCCTCGCCCTCTCCTCCTCTCCGGCTGCGACCTCTCCGTGCGCGCGTGCGGGCGGGCAGGCGTGCGCAGCATGTCTCCGTACCTTAGGCTTTTTTTCAGCTCCTCTGATTTTCTTTCTGGTTTTCTCTTTCCTTCTTGTTGTAGAAATTTCAGTCAGTCGACTACCTGTAGCTCTGGGCAATGTCCACTCTACATTTTAGTTGTATTCCATTGAAATTGTTGTGTGCTGCCGCGGCTAGATGTCTACCCGAGCAGCCATCTTCGGAATCCTTAAGTTTTTAAGGAGCATTCAGATGTTTTAAATTTTAGTAAAATTAGTTTTAATTTTGCTAATGACAGCAGATGTGTGGCAGACAGCCAGGACTTGAGTTTAAAACAAAACGTCTAGAGATATTCATGCATAAAATGTCTGGATACTTATAAAATCATAAAGATTCTACTCCAGTGATATATGTAAGTTTATTAAGATAGCAATGTGCGCCCAAACCGGTTTGGCTCAGCGGTAGAGCGTTGGTCGGCGGACTGAAAGGTTCCAGGTTCGATTCCGGTCAAAGGCATGTACATTGGTTGCGGGCACATCCTCAGTAGGGGGTGTGCAAGAGGCAGCTGGTCGATGTTTCTCTCTCATCGACGTTTCTAGCTCTCTAGCTTTCTCCCTTCCTCTCTGTAAAAAATCAATAAAATATATATATATTTTTAAAAAGATAGTAATGTGCAAAATAGGTATCAGCATCTATTTTTGAGCCATTTGTTAGCATTTCTCGTTTGTAATTTTTAACTACATAATGACACTAGTAGTGAGAATAATGTCCAGAAATTCTTAGAGGACCTCATTTTCTTGTTTAGTTCAGTGACTTTGATTGTTGTGGAAAGGAGGGCTATTGGAATGTTTGACAGTAGATTTCAGTTCAGATATTAGGTGAGTGTAGGAAGCTCATTATTCCATCATCCCATTCACTTTTCTCTGCCCTATTCTTTGTTCACCAAGGCAAAAATTTAAGAAATTGATATATGGAATCTATAAAGATGCTTTAGAATTTGCTTGTTGCAAAGGGAGATAATAATCAAGTCATAATAATCATTTAACCATTAAATGTCAAATGTTATAGACTATAGTTATTAAATAGAAGTGTTTTATGGTTTTTTTTTTTGTTTTTGTTTTTTTTAAAAAAGACTTTTGGATGCCCTAGTTGGTGTCGCTCAGTGGTTAGGGCATTGGCTTGTGGACTGAAGGGTCCCAGGTTTGCTTCTGGTCAAGGGCACATGCTCAGGTTGTAGGCTCAATCCCAAGAATGGGGTGTGCAGAAGGCAGCCGATTAATAATTCTCTCTCATCATTGATGTTTGTGTTTCTCTCTCTCTTCCTTCCTCTCTGAAATCAATAAAAATATATTTTTAAAAAGCGTTTTGGAATTTTCTGTAAATATTTTGGTTATCAAAACATAATAAATATACTATGTTAAGTCATTTGATCAATGACGTTCACTGAAAAATAAGACATATACTGAAAGTTACTTAAAATATTTTTTGCTTTTATTTCAAAGGGAGTTTTTACCTTTGTTAGTGTTTGGTCTATAGACATTTAATCCTAATATATAAAAAGCCAGGGGCCATCACAACCTAAACAATTGAATGGAAGACTGAGCAGGAGGCTGTGGAGTGACCAGGCTGGCAGGGGCACAGTAAGGGATGACCATATGACTGGGCCCTGAGCAATCAGGGGCAACCAGGCTGGCAGGGGGGCAGTTGAGGGCAACCAGGCGGCAGAGGGGGCAGTAGTAAGAGGAGATCAGGCCGGCGGGAAGGCAGTTAGGGGCGAACTGGCCAGCAGCAGAGGGCAGTTAGGGGTGACCAGGCCGGAAGGGAGGGAAGTTGGGGGCAACCACACTGGAAGGGGTAGCAGTAAGGGACAACCAGGCCAGTGTGAGGGAGGGGGCAGTGAGGGGCGATCAGGACAGCAGGCAGGTGAGCAATTAGGAGCCAGCAGTCCAGGGTTATGAGAAGGATGTCAGACTACTGGGTTAGGCCTGATCTTCAGAGTCCTGGATTTGAGAGAATGTATGGGCTGGGCTCAGAGGACCCCCGTCATGCATGGATTTCATGCACCAAGCCTCTAGTTTATCCATAAAAGCCATGAAAGAAGATAAATCAGAAATTCTGATCAAGATGGTATTGTAAACAGATGCTTTAGTACCTGTTTCACTTCTCACTCATTGGAGTCATAGATAAAATGTAAAAAGAACAGCTGGGTTTAAAAAAAAAAAAAAAAAAGATATGCTTATGTAAAGAAATGGAACAGAAAATGCCAGACCTGGGGCAAGTAAGCAGGCACTTGCAGTCAGGAGTTTGGCTTGTTTGGGGTAATGGATTTGCAGGTGCTATAATACATTCATAGTGAGGTACTAGAAGCAGACTCACTGTTTGAACTTTTGCACCTACCCTATGCAGGAGGCTGAAAAAATCTCTTCCACCTGTTACCTGAGGCTGTGTCTTGCAGGAGGCTGTAGTAGGGCAGGGTGGTAAGAGGGAACAGGGAACTGAAACCTGCCATTTGCTGGTTTGGAGACTTGATTAGTGGTAGGAATTCTAACTGCCAAACTGAGATCTGGTTCAGAACAGACATGAGTTTTGAGACTTGGAGTATGAGGAGGAGAGGGAAAGGATATAGCCTATTCAGAATAACATTGCAAATTCCAAAATTAAAAAAATACAGGAAGGATCATATTGCAATATATAAATGCTTTTCTGTGCAATTTTGTTCTTCTGCATTTTTTTCCCTACTGAGTTGTGTTTAATTGATCTGGAGGAATTCTTAAATATTCTTGATACTTATTCTTTGTTGATTTGAATTGTTGGAAATATCTTCTAAGTCTGAGACTTTTCTTTCTTTTATAAATGGGATCTTTTGATGAGCAGATATTCTGAATTTTTTTAAATTTATTTTTTTAGATGTCCTGAATTTTAATTTAGCAGAATTTGTCCATTTTTCCTTATATTGTTTATATCTTGTTAAGAAATCTAACTCTACCATAAAAATAGGCTATATTGTTTTGTTAGACTTGTAAGTGTTATAACATTAAAATCATTAATCTACCTTGTTGATGATGTGAGGTGGATTCCAACTTCTTTTTTTTATTTTTATTTTTTTGGGGGATGGGATAATACAGTAGTTTCCGTAACTACTTCATTCTTCTTTGAATAATATTCCCCAGTTTTAAGTAGAAGAATCAACAGTGTGTCTGTCCTTGTGTTGTTCCTTATTTTAAAGCAATGCTTCTTTTATTGAATACAATGTTTAGGTTTGTTTTACCCTTTAAGGAAATTTCTTTTTGTCCTAAGTTTCAAAAAGGATTTGAAACTTGCATGGGTGTTGAATTTTATTAAATGCTTTTCTTTACTTCCTGAAATGATTTTATAGTTTTTCTCTTTTAATCTGTTAACGTTTAACTACTCCTAACATTCTTAGGATAAATCCAGCTTGTCTGTGATATATTCATTATCTTTTTAACACATTGCCAGATTGTTAGCTCATGAGTTTATAGGTTTGTTTGCAAGCCACTGCTTAATGTAAATTTTTTGAAACTTTACAGCAGAACTCAAAGGTCCACTTACTAAGCAAGAACCTCTCCAAGTAAGAGGTAAATATATTTTTATCCTATTTTTTGTGATGATGTTTTGAATTAAATATATAAAATTAATTTATATAGAGGTCTTTATAGTTATATTATCACTAGAGGCCTGGTGCACCAGTGGGGTCCCTCGGCCTGGCCTGCACCCTCTTGCAATCCAGGACCCCTCAGGGGATGTCAGATTGCCAGTATCTGCTCAATGCCTGAAGGCCAGACTGAGGGACCCTACTAGTGCATGAATCTGTGCACCGGGTCTCTAGAATACATATAAGGTTAATATCTTCCCATCCTCCCCACTTCCCCCTTCCCTCTGAGATTCATCACTCTGTTCCATGTTTCTAAGCATTGAGCGTCTGCCCCCTGGTGGTCAGTGTGCGTAAAGCTACTGGTTGAAAGGTTGCTTAGGCTTTTATCTCTCTCTCTCTCTCTCTCTCTCTCTCTCTCTCTCTCTCTCACACACACACACACACACACACACACACGTGTGTGTGTCTGTGTGTGTGTGTGTGGCTAATTTGTCCTCTCAGGAGTTCGACCGAAATATTGGGAGTTTGCTTGCTCACTATGATATGTATTGACCACCAGGGGGGTGGCGCAGAATGAAGGGAGGCCCCAGCCGGCAGCCGGGAAAGGGAAGCCCTGGTCGGCAGCTGGAAGGCCCTGATCAGCCCTGGTTACCGGCCAGGCCTAACGACTCTACCTGTGCATGAATTTTGTGCACTGGGCCTCTATTATATAAATAAGGGCTAGGGTTAGGGTTATTGACCTTAGGATTTAACATCTGATTTATAAGCTAACTATCTACTGAAGTTTACTTTGCATTTTGGTCACAAATTTTGTGGTAATTGTTTTTTTCAAAAGCCCAAGGAAAAGAGTAATGGCAAATAAAAGTTATCAATTACTTTATCATTTTAGAAAAGTAATGTGATTAAAGAACAAAACGAAGTCAACATCTTTCAGCTCCAACTTTTTCAAATCCAGGTAGAGATTGGACATTCTTGTCTGACTCTCTTTTCTAGGAATAATTGCAGCTGTTCTTTATAATGAGCTATGACTCGCATTTCCAAATCAGCATGTTTCACTGAGGCAGTAACTCTGTGATGAGATGCACTGTGGCTTTGGAATCAGACAAAACTGGATTCCGTTTGTGGCCCCAGCATGTACCAACTGTATGGCTTTGGGCAGTGGACCTGACTTCTCTAAGCCATAGTTTTCTCCTCTGTAATATGGTGCTAAAAATGGAATTTCTTTTGTAGGATAATTTTGAAGATGATGTATAGTAGTAGTGTGCAGTCATAATTAAGAATAATTAATATTATGATAGCAGTCATTATCATTAGTAATCTGGGCCAGGACAGGCCAACAGGGATTTCTAGCTACTTTGAACAAATTTTACAAAAGTAATTAAAAAACAACAACTAATCTTTTAAAAGAGATGTAATTCCCCTCTCTGCTCCAGAGGACCTCACTTGGATTTTGAGTTTGAAGGTTATTGGAGAAAGGCAGTTCAGAGACTTGAACTCATGTAAAAAGAAACTTGAAGTTTTTAATATATTGCTTTTTTTAAAATAAGTTTTTGATTTTTATATTGAACTTTATTTCTTAAATGTTCTTAAGTGTTTTATTTTAATAGTTCATGTGTTAAGAGTCTTTTTACCTACTGCAATGATAAATAGTTTTAGTCTAAATTTGCTCTTTGAACTTAAAAGTAGAACAGAAAATTTATGAATTAATAGATATAAGACTAGAATGTGAAGTGACTAGGTGACAATTTGTAACAGAACAATACAAGTTTCTTCTGTTTTTTTTCTCTTGATCTTCAGATATTTGCTTATGTTATTTATGTCGTGACCATAAGTCAACTTTATAATATGACTTACAAATTGTATTGATGTATCTGGCGTTTTTATAAACATTTGATCCTTGTAGTAGGTAATTTAATAGAAGATAGTATTTTACTTAAAACCTGTAATAAACTTCTTATAATTTTTAACTGATAAAAATGTTCCTTTTGTTTACTCAGCTTTGTTGCATTATGTGAAACAGTCCAGTGGCTTTCAAACAGATAGAAATTATTTAACTGTAACAAAAGTGTTCACAAAAAATATTTGTTCTTAATTTTATGCAATACTCTGATTACTTCTTATTTTCACTTTTTATAAAATGCTGCTTTTACTCCACAGTTTTAAAAACACTGAACTAGCCTGTAATTTTTAACTGAAGCTGAAATTTGTCTAATGGACACCTTGTATTAAATACAAGGTGTCCATTAGACAAAGGGTTGGGCATTTTCTCATCAGTTACAGATGAACTATGTAAATAAAAGGTAGTTTGGCTACAAATATTCCATTCTATTCTGCACTTGGAGAATTTTTTTCTGATGTCATTCAGTGCATCAGGTGATAGTATTAATCTGGATATAAAAGATTGATATTTTATGGAATTCATTAGTAAAGCCTCAGTATGACTTTTGTTGTGTATACTTTTGTTTTCCTATGTTTTTTTTTTTGGGTTTTAGTCAAAGCAGTCCTTAAGAAGAGGGAGTATGGACCAAAGTATACTCAGAATAATTTCATCACTGGAGTCAGAGCAATAAATGAGTTCTGCCTTAAAGCCAGGTACAGTTATTTTTTAAAGGGTAGTTTTATCTATCTAATGTAAATAACCATTTATTTCTTAGAATGTGTTTCCTGCTATCTTCCATTCATGTGGAAGTTTCCCATAGCTTCTTCCTAAATTAAAGAAATATGTTTATTTGGTTAAAAAATGTTAAAATTATTTGTTTGCAACATTGAATTCTGCTCCAGCATAAGCAATTTCAGTCTTTCTGGGCTTCTTAAATTCAAAAAGGCAAGTTATTCAAAATCTCTGTGTCATACAAGATCATAGGAATTTTATTGTTACGTTCACATAGGTCAGAATTATTAATAATAAGATAAGATTATTTACTAATTTTCTTGCCATCATAGAGATTTATGGAAATTATACTCATCACATATTTCTAAATTTTCCCTTCCTTTATGTGTTTACCTAGAAAAGTCATATTTATATGGAAGATTTCTTTTCTTTTCTTTTTTTTTTAAATATTTTATTGATTTTGTTCAGAAAGGAAGGGAGAGAGATAGAGAGTTAGAAACATCAATGAGAGAGAGTCATCGATCAGCTGCCTCTTGCACCCCCCCCACTGGGGATGTGCCCGCAACCAAGGTACATGCCCCAGACCGGAATCGAACCCGGGACCCTTCAGTCCCCAAGCCGATGCTCTATCCATTGAGCCAAACTGGTCTCGGCATTTATGGAAGATTTCTTGATTTTTTTAGAGATATCAGGTGTGATCTATTCCCCCCCTCCTTCTCATGATTATTCTCTATGATTTACTATCAAGAATTAAGGAATTCAACAATCTGCTTTATAACTTATATAAATAATAAACTAACAATCAATTATAACATTGTAATAAATTATATTATGTTTCACGTAGAATATTTCATTTAGTTCTCACAAAAATTTTGGGAATTAAGTAGGTTAAGTATTGCTGTCTCCACATTATAGGCCAGGAGACATAATAGGGATGTTACTGATGATCCAGCTTCTTTAGTGAGTCAGTGACAGAGAGGAAACTAGAATAATAATCTTTGGGTAGCTGGTCCAAACTATCTTACCTATGTGTGATAGTTGGTTGTTGATATTTTTAAACTCCAGGTTTAGTTTCTATAACTTAGTAATAGTCCATCATTACCACACTTTAATTGATAGGTCTTTTCATTGCCGTTACAGAATTTTCTAAGGAACACGAATGATCAAATACAGAATGACTATTTAGTTGTGACTTGATGAATATATAATCTTTCTAGAATATAAAAGAAGGGACAATTATAAATAGCATGGAATTGCATTAAACCTTTATGGCTTGATAACTTTGAATGCTACTAACACTTAGTATTAATCTGGATATAAACAAATAGGGCTGTAAATTTTAAATTCTCAAATAGAGGGATGATACTCTAATCCATGTTCTTTCTCCTTTTGGCATTTTTTTATGATGCATGAGACATTACAGTTGCAAACATAGCAGATAAAACATAAGCACTTAGGAAGGAACTTAGTCTATACATGTTTTGTTACAGTATCTGTATTGAACAACAGTAATATTTCCCTTTCTTTCTCTCTCCTTCCCTTCCCCCCTCCCTTTCTTCCACACCCAAGGATGTGTTTACTGGAGGGGGTAGAAAAGGAAGGGAGGGAGGGACACATCAATTGGTTGGTTCCTAATTGTGCCCCGACTGGGGATCAAACCCACAACCTAGGTATGTGCCCTGGCCGGGAATTAAGTCTGAAACTTTTTGGTGCACATAATGACGTGCCAACCGAGTTACCTAGCCAGGGCAAGAATAATTGTTTCTTCATTGTCTCTAAACCAGTTTTTGTGTACAAAGTGCAATCTGTATAAACTGATCTTTAAGTGCTATGCCGATTATAGTCTTTTAAGATGAGGATCAATGTGGTGATTTTTATCTGTTCCTAATAATTTTTTTAAGTACATAAACTCTATGAAGATTGTCTGAATAAATTTAACATATTTCTTTCTTTAGCGATCTGGAACAGCTTCGAAAAATCAGACAACGAAGTCCCCATGAAGATACTGAATCCTTTACTGTATACTTGAGATCAGATGTGGAGGCAAAGTAAGAATATAGTTCTTTTAGAATAAAAGTACAAGCTGAAATTGGGATTAATAAAAACACAACTTAGATTCAGAATTTTTTAAAGAATATATTTTATTTTTTTAAAGGTAGATTATTTTTACATTTGTAAATTTTGGGAGGAATTACTATTATATACTACTTAACTAAAAATATGTCCGAATTTATCAGAAAATTTCCTGACTTTACTGTTTTGTATAGATGTAGTTTTAGAAAAGTTTCTTAAGTGCTTTATATTTTTTCTAAAGTAAGATCCTCATATAGTTATTCAGATGGTTCATCTAGATTTAAAGATAATTACAATAAAGTCATTAAAATTGTTCATTGTTGGTCATGTTTTTATTCGTAGATCTTTGGAAGTCTGGGGAAGCCCTGAAGCTCTTGCCAGGGAGAGAAAACTGCGTAAAAAAGCAGAAATAGAATACAGAGAAAGTAAGTATATTCAGTTTAAAGCTATTGCAGGTTCATTTCCAAACCACCACAGTATTTTTGCTGTTGGTGGTGGGGCGAGGGGTTGCCTTCAGTTTCTGAAATAAACCATTTGTGCAGCACAGTAAAGCAAAGTTCAGTAAAATGAGATGTGCCTGTAACTGGTAGGTAATAATGGTGCCTATAATTATGTACTCCCTGGTGCCTGCCTAGTTTTGGCTTTGGCTCTTTTAGTTGTAGCAAATAGCAATATCCATTTGAGATTCAATTATTTTATTAAAAAAATACCTATTTTTTTCTCCTCTTTAGCTTTTTAAAGATGATGAGAGGAAGTGAAGTTAGTTTGTGGTTCCATAAGACATGAATATTAAAACCAGTGGTCTGATTTAAAGATTATGCTTGTTTTAAAAGTGATAGAATAATGATGCTTTCTTAGAAAAAGTCTGTTAATTCAGGTGCCACATTTCTATCTTAATTAATTAAATCAGCAGAGATATTTATCCCACACCTAAGAACTGGAAACTGCATGGTACTTGAGATTTAGATGTATGTAAGATTCTTAGGGAATTTAACAACCCAATGGTTTAGTGACAAAACCACCTTATAGGATTTATCTTACCTAATAAAAGAGAAACATGCAAATTGACCACACCTTTGCTATGCCCACAAGCCCCGCCCACCAGCCAATCAGGCAAGTATGCAAATTAACCCAACCAAGATGGCGGTTAATTTGTATACCCAGGCCTGAGCAAAGACTAAAGATAGTGTAGAAAGAAGCCAAGTGCTGCAAAAGGGAGTGAAGCTGCCGAGAAGCAAGCAAGCTAGGCAGGCAGAAGGGAAGAGAGCAGGCAGGGCAGAGACGGCAGCAGGAAGCCCTATTGTAGGAATCTTCCTGCGACAGGCCACTAGTATAATATAAAAATAGGTTTCAGATAATTTTTTTATTTACATATATATGTACTTATTATTGATGTGATGCATATCTGTGATTTTAAAAAGGATACAAAAACATTAAGAAGTCTCTTTTTATTTCTTCTAGTAACTGTCTCATTTTTCTTCCTAGACATAACTGTTGTTGAGATTTCTTTGTGTAAATAAATCATCAAATAAATACAAAGCATTTACATAATTCCAAAGTCACATCTTTCAAAATATTTCAGAGAAATTTAGCTTCCACCCCAGACTTTTCCACCCTGATCCCTTTCTCTCATATAAATAACCACTTAAAAAGTTAGTCTTAGGGTTATTTTTTCTATTTTTAAACATAAAATAGTATAGGTATATGCATATATTACATACAAAATATGATAAAATAACATACCACCTCCCTTTCATAAATAAGATATACTAAACATACTTTCTGTCCTTGCTTTTTTCATTTGAGAGTATGTCCTAGTAATAAATAGGGACTTTTCTTTGTTTCTTTTATAATGCTCTATTTTGGTGGGTATACTATAGTTTATTCAGTCATTCTCCCATAAGTTGTTTTTGGTCTTTTGTTATTTTAGATAGTGATACCATGAATAGTTTTGTGCATATATTAAAGGAAATATTTAAAGTAACAAAATTTGAGGGAACACGTTAATATTTCATTCTATATTTTTAAACTTGGAGTTAAAAATGAATTGGTTCTTATATCAAGCTTAAATAGCTCATTACTTTTAGGTAATTTTAAAAATAACATCTTACCAAACTGCCTTTACCTCATTGCAAATCCAGATTTCTCCCTGCCTTTTTTGATTTTTAATTGTGTTTAAAAAATGCAATGTAAAATTCATCATTTTAACAAATTTTTAGTGTAAAGTTCAGCTGTGTTAAGTATTTTCACATTGTTATAAAACAGATCTCCAGAAAGTTTTTTTTTCCAGAACTTTTTCATCTTAAAAAACAGTCTATACTTGTTAAACAAGAACTCCCTTTTCCTCTCTCCCAGCCCCTAATAGCCAATATTCTACTTTTTGTTTCTATGAATTTGACTACTTGAGATGCCTCATATAAATGGAATCATACAGCATTTGTATTTTTTTAAAAATGTATTTTTATTAATTTCAGAGAGAAAGGGAGAGAGAAACATCAATGTTGAGAGGGAATTATTGATCAGCTGCCTCCTGTACACCCCTTACAGGGGATCAAGCCGATAATCTGGCATCTTCTCTGACTGGGAATTGAACCCCGACCTCCTGATTCATGGATTGATGCTGAACCATTGAGCAACACTGGCTGAGCAGCATTTGTATTTTTTAAAAAATATATATTTTATTGATTTTTTACAGAGAGGAAGGGAGAGGGATAGAAAGCTAGAAACATCAGTAGAGAGAAAAACATCAACCAGCTGCCTCCTGCACACCCCCTACCGGGGATGTGCCCGCAACCAAGGTACATGCCCTTGATGGAATGGAACCTGGGACCCTTCAGTCCGCAGGTCGACGCTCTATTCATTGAGCCAGATCGGTTTTGGCAGCATTTGTAATTTTGACTGAATTACTTCACATAACATAGCGTCCTCAAGGTTCATCCATGTGGCAGGATTTTCTTTGTAAGTCTGAGAAATATTCCATTGTATGTACATACAACATTTTGTTTGTTTATTCATTCATCCTTGGAAATTTTGGTTGCTTTTATTTCCTGGCTATTGTGAATAGTGTTGCTATGAACATAGGTGTGTAAATATCTCTTTGAAACCCTGCTTTAATTTGTTTTGGATATATATCTACAGTGGGATTGCTAGATAATATGGCCATTTTTAAAATTTTTTAGGAACTTCTATATTGTTTTCCATGGCAGTTGTACTGTTTTACAATCCCACCAATGTACATAAGGTTTTCAGTTTCTCCACATCTTCGCCAACTTGTTATTTTCTGTTTTTATTTTTTAAGGATAGTAGCATTCTGAAGGGTATGAGGTGATACTTCATTGTGGTTTTGATTTGCATTTATCTGATGACTAATGATATGAGCATCTTTTTATGTGCTTGTTGGCCATTTGCATATTCTCTATGGAAAAGTCTTCAAATCCTTTGCACATTTAAAAAAATATATATTTTATTGATTTTTTACAGAGAGGAAGAGAGAGGGATAGAGAGTTAGAAATATCAATAAGAGAGAATCATCAATCAGCTGCCTCTTGCACACCCCTTACTGGGGATGTACCTGCAACCAAGGTACATGCCCTTGACCGGAATCGAACCTGGGATCCTTCAGTCCGCAGGCTGACACTCTATCTACTGAGCCAAACTGGTTTCGGCTGCACATGTTTTAATTGTGTTGCAAATCCAAATTTTTTATAATAACCTGATGTTTTTGTTGGTAGCTAATGGAGCATATGTAACATAGTAGTCGTAAAGAGAATACTTGTGTTAATCTAAAATGTGATTGATAAGAATATATATGAGCTAAATGTGTTTTGTAATTCTTTTCTTATAGGGTTATTTAGAAACCAAAGCATGTTAAAAGAATATAGCGACTTTCTTGGAAATACCAAGGTAAGGATATTTTTCTGATAATGAAATGTAGGTGTTGCACAGTGAAATTCTAGTGTTAGTTCATTGCTTAATACTAGTCCTGTGCCAGCCTAATTCAAGATTTTCTTGAGCACATTGTAATTTACAATCTATTTTTGCTCTTGTCTACTTTATTGAAATTTTAAAAATCGGGACATAAGTTCTCTTTAAATTCCAGACTGTGTTGTAAGCCTAACATATAGGTAAGAGAGAAAACTATTTTCTCAGGTTTTAGCAAGATTAAGCTCTCTCATAGCCACTTTTAATTTTCTTTTTTAAGAATATATTTTTATTGATGTCAGAGAGAGAAGGAAACATTAATGATGGAGATCATTGATCAGCTACTTCCTGCACGTCCCCTATGGAGATCGTGCCCACAACCGGGGCATTTGCCCTGAACTGAAATCAGACTGTGACCTCCTGGTTCATAGGTAGATGCTCAACAAACTGAGCCACATTGGCCAGGGTCCTTTCTGGAAGTAGGCAGGAAATCAGTTACAAGGAAACAAAATGAATGATTAAGATTCTGGAATAGGACCTAGATGTCCTTCAGATTTCCATTTTTCCACTTTTTATAGAGGAAATTATGGAGAAACAAATAAGTAAACCTAGTTGTTTAGAGGTATTGATAGAGGAGATATTTTCTGGTGTGTCAGAATCACTTATAAGCATTAAAATGCTTCTAGAAATTTTTGAGATTTTTAAAATGTCGTCGTTTTTTTATAGCCACGTTCCAGAATGACATCAGTTTTTCTTAAGGGGCCAGGAAAGGTGGTGATGGTTGCCATTTGCATGTAAGTACTGAAAAATACGGCTTTTAAAATAGACTTATGTTATTTTATGTAAATACTGGTATTGTTTTTGTTCTTGTTTTTCCTACTGATTTCAGAGAGTAAGGGAGAGGGAGAGAGAGATGGGCTATCTCCTGCATTATTCCTACTGGGGATGGAGTCAGCAACTCAGAATATGCCTCAGCTCTCCGTGGCTATAGCCATCTTGGTTGGGTTTATTTGCATACTCACTCTGATTGGCTGGTGGGCGTGGCTTGTGAGTGTAACAGCGTAATGGTTAATTTGCATATCACTCTTTTATTAGGTAGGATAGGTAATAATTAAAGCCATAGAAGAATGTGTATAGTGTCAGGAAGAAAATGCCCTCAGAAAAAAACTTGATGAATGCTTAGGTAGAATAAAAAGAGCCTGCTGAAGAAGAATAAGGAGCAAGGTAAGAAGAAAACCCAAAGCTTCATGGAAGCCAAGGAAGACAGTGATTTAAGAAAATAGTGGCAACCCAGGCCAGTGTGGCTCTAGTTGGTTGGAGCACAGTCCCATACACTGAAGCGTGGTGGGTTTGATTCCTGATTAGGGCACAAGTCCAGGTTGAGGGTTTGATTCCCCGTTGCGGGGAGGGAAAGCACATGCAGGAGGTGTTTCTCTCTCTCTCCCTTTCTCTTTCTCTCTCTAAAATCGTTGAAAAACATATCCTCGCATGAAGATTAAATAAAAGAAGAAGAAAATAGTAGCAGATGCTTCTCTGAGATTAAGAAAAATAATAAAATGTTTCTATGAACTTTATAGCAAGAAATGGAGGTATTAGAGGCAGAAACCATTATTTAGTGCACTGAAGACTGTCCAAAGTGGGGAGATTGGAGAGACAGAAGCAGATATGCTTCTTTCAAGACATTATTTGAAGTGGAGGAAGGGGATATACAGTTTTCTCATTTATGAAATGAGGATGATAATATTTGTATAATAGAATTATAATAAAAATGATAAATGACTAGTATAATGCCTCAGATAAATCATGCTAGTCATTACTGTTGGAATCTGAGCAGCTGGCTTGCTCAGAGCTAACCATATTTATTTTAACATCTATGGTCTAGTATGACTCAGACTGCTTGGTTTACATTTGTCTTTATCTATTTAAGTAAGCAGACTTTCACCGAAGTCTTGCCTTTGACACTGTTCTACTGGACAATATTGATGCAGATCTTTTACTTACTTGACACATAATTTCCTTTCTAATTTTGTTTTGTCCAAATGTAGAACATCCTCTTATCAATTCTTAAAATGCACTTAATTTGCTTACACATGTCATGCTTCTTCATTTGAATATTTAATATCGAATCTGTATTTTTGAGATTTGTACTCTTGTTACCAGAAACATAGTAAGTTTTTGAAGGCTAGAGATTCTTTTTAATTTCCTTTGATACAATCTAGTATAGAGATATATATAGTCAATTAAATAAGCTTTAGGTGAAAATTTTTGTCTGAACCAATGGTAAATTGCTTTCTCTTTCTCTCCTAGCAATGGATTAAATTGCTTCTTTAAATTTCTTGCTTGGATTTATACGGGTTCAGCAAGTATGTTCTCCGAAGCTATACATTCTTTATCTGATACTTGTAATCAGGTGAGGGATAAAAGCTTTACTCTTACTAATTTTAAAGTATTTTTTTTTTAAGATTTAATCTAAAAGTTGGCCTGTTTTAAAAACTGAATAAGTCTGGTAGTTGGCATATGGAAGAAAAATAAAATTGTTTTACTTTTGAACAATAAAATACATAAAAATATGAGCATGCTATTTTAAAGCAGGTTTTTAGGCTTTAAGGACTTCCAACAGTGGAATATGAAGTGTAAGATTATCATTCACTAAGTTTTGGGCAGAAGTTTTTGTAGAAGAGATTATTACTTTAGGTGGAAATTTATATCTGAACATAGGTTCTTATGGTCAATGAATTTAAGAGCTAGTGAATTTAAGTTTCTTGAATAACTATGTAAATTAGTCCCATGTGATTGATAAATTAAAATTTCATATTAGACTTGCACTTTGAATTCCTTTTCTGAATTTGCAAATGAAGAAAGATTTTTATAAAATTAAAGTACCTTCTTTAACCCAAATTTTGAAAACTGTAAATTTAAGCCTTTTTAAAGAACACAACAAAATTTTCTACTTTTGTTATTATTTCACATTTAAACAATTTGTTGTTTTAAGAGAATGCTTTTTCAGTATTCATTTATTTATACCACTGTTAAAAAGAACTAATTTGGGAGAACTTACAATAAAAGACAGCATATTCAATAAGAATATTTAAGACAAAGTTAAAAATAATAGGTAGGGAGTAGGGAGAGCCATCTTAACTAAAAATTAAACCCGAGAACTTGCTTACCTCACTGTCAAATGGATTAAAAGCTTTTGCAAAAGTAAGGAAAGAAGTAAAAAATTTGCTGTCAGTACTTAGAAATCTTTCCCTTGAATTAAATTTTTGTGCAGTAAATATTTAAAAACTTGTATCAATATAATATTTTCCCAGTCGATTGTGGAGTGGAGAGAGAGGTGAGTGGTTGGGAGAGATACATATCACATAATCTCTATTTTTTTAAAAACTTACTTGGACTTAAGAAAATTGAAATGCAAAAATATTTGTACATATGGGCCAGAAGTTATGTACAGATGATTAGTTTCATTCTTACATGTTATTATTAAAACATTGAAGATAGTTTTTCAGTGTCCATACTCTGAATGACTCTTCAAGGGTTTAAAAAATATAATTATACTTATATACTGTTCTGAAATGATAACATGATAAATTAAGAAAATAAATAAATAAAATTGTAAACCATTATGTAAAGAACCTTTGCTTCCCGCCATGATGAACTAATGGGAACTGAATTTAGTCTTTTTCTGTTAACAACTATAAAACTACATAAAATATATGAAACAATATTTTTAAACTTTGGACAATAGTTCATGATCCTGGACAGGCCATGATCCTGGAGAGAAAGAAAACAAATTAGTTGAACTCTATGATCTCTGGCTTTTGTTTGGAGGCACATGTGGGATGATGTAGTATAGTGGGAGATAACAGTTTCATTAAGCTGAGAAGGCAGAAATTTATCAAGTAAGAGGAGGCTAGCAATTACAAGGCAGTGTTCCTCAGAGAGTCAGAGCTCTAAAGGAACAGAACTATAACTTAATTACGTGCCAGAACAGAGCCCCCACACTCTTAAGACAATAAAATCCAGAAACTTAATATAACATTCCTGGAATTTAGCATTTAATAAAAAATTAAAAAAAAAGAATTTGACATCCAAGAAGCAGAACATTTGACTTATGAGGAGAAAAATCAGTCAGTAGAAACAGAGTTAATTGACGAATAAGGATGTTAAATAGCTATTACAACTACATTCATGTATTGAAAGGAAAACATGTATATTGACAAGAGAAATGGAAGATATAAAGAACAAAATGGAGCTTTTAGAGCTGAAAAATATGTCTGATGGGAAAAATTAACTGTGTAGAATTAAAAGCAGACACTATAGAAAAAACAATCAATGAACTTAAATATATGGCAGTAGAAAACATTCATACTGAGGGGAAAAGATTGAAAAAAATGAAGGGAGCTTCAGTGACCTGTGAGACAATATCAAGAGAACACTATCAAACATTTAAGGAATAAGTAATACCAATAGTACAGGCTTTCAAATATAGAGGAGGAAATGCTTTTCAATTCCTCTAATAAGGCCAGCATAACCCTGATACCAAAACCTTACAAAGATGTTACAAGAAAGAAAAATGCAGCCGGGACTGGTTTGGCTCAGTGGATAGAGCGTCAGCCTGCGGACTGAAAGGTCCCGAGTTCGATTCTGGTTGAGAGCATGTACCTTGGTTGCGGGCACATCCCCAGTAGGGGGTGTGCTAGAGACGACTGATCAATGATTCTCTCTCATAGATGTTTTTAACTCTCTATCCTTCTCTCTTCCTCTGTGAAAAATCAATAAAATATATTTTTAAAAAAAGAAAAGAAAGAAAAATGCAGACTAATATCCCTCAAGGACATAGATGCAAATATCCTTAAAATATAATCAAATTGAATCTAGCAATACATAAAAATGATAATATATATATAATTGAATATTATCCTAGGAATATAAAGTTAATTTAACATTCAAAATCAATAGGAATAGAAGGTTAACATGCAAAAATCATTTATATTTCTACTATCAGCAAACAAATGGCAAATTAAAAATGTAATAAATTTTATTTAAAATCATATCAAATAATATTAAATACTTATGAGTAAATTTAATGAAAAATGTGCAAAACTTTTATAGTAAAAATTTTAAATCTGTTTGGGAGAAATTAAAGGAGACCTAAAGAAATGGAGAGATATAGACCATGTTCATGAATTGGATAACATGATGTAATATGTCAACTCTCCTTAAATTGATCTGTAGATTTAATATAACTGCAATCATCCCAGAAGACTTTTTTTTTTTTAATTGAAATTGAAAAACTAAATAAAGCCTAGAACTTGGAATGGAAATGCAAAGAGCTCAGAATATTCAAAGCATTTTTAAAGAAGATAACTTGAAGGACTTCAAAATTTATAAAACTACAGTAATTAAAACAGGGAGATATTGGCCTAAGGAATGACAGATCAATGTAACTTAATAGTAGAGAATCTAGCAACAGAATCACAGTTACATGTGGTCAATTGATTTTTGATAAAGATACAAAAGCAATTGAATGAAGAAAGGAAATTCTAACAAGTGGTGTTAGAAAGGTTTGGATAGCCTATGGAAAAAAATCAAAGTACCTTGATCTCCACCACAAATTATATACAAATTTGAAGTAGATCATAGGCCCAAACATAACACCAAAAACTATGAGGATTTTCCTAGATATTAATTTATATGAATTTATTGCACACTTGAGTTTGCCATGCATTAAGTGTTTAGGAAAAGAACACAGTCCTTGCTCTGTCTTCTGTAAGCAGGTCATACACACAAAACAGCTACTAGTAGAAAGATATTCTAAGACAACATTTAAACAGTTTCTTACTAGTATGAGGAAAACCTTAAAAGATAAAGATGATTACAGAAGGAGAAACATTAATAATGCTTCTTAACTACTAGGTACTAATAATATTAATGCTATAAACCAAACAAATCCTATTTAATAAAAGAGGGAATATGCTAATTGACCCTCACACTGTCGCAAAGATGGCAGCACCCACAGCCAGTGAGGAGGAAATATGCTAATTGTCTGTCCCACCCTCAAAGATGGCAGCACCCACAGCCAGTGAGGAGGAAATATGCTAATTGACTGTCCCACCCTCAAAGATGGCAGCACCCACAGCCAGTGAGGAGGAAATATGCTAATTGACTGCCCCGCTCTCAAAGATGGTGGTGTCCATTCACCTCAGCCCCCCAACTGCTCAGGGTCAGCCTGAGGCACAGGCAAGCCTTGGATGGCAGCTGCCCAGCGACCTAGGGCAGGCCGAGGCTTGCGCTGCCGGCAGTGGCAACAGCAAAGGTGTGATGGGGTATCGCCTTCCCGTGATTGCCAGGTTGCCTTCCAACCCTGAGGGCTTCTGGACTGTGAGAGGAGGCAGGCCGTATTGAGGGACCATCCTGCTCCAGTGCATGAATTTTCATGCACTGGGCCTCTAGTGTAGGTTATATATGTAGCATATGTATGCACATATATACATATGTTGTAAATGACCAGAGAAAGGTCTGGAAGGACATATCAAACATAAGTAATGCAACTTTGCCTCTGGGGAAGGACAGGATTATAAGAACTAATGTGGTTCAGATTCAGTTTATAGAATACTTATATTTTTACACTATTGCAGAGTAAACCTTAATATTAAATAATAAAAGATTTTAAAATTAATTGAATCCCCATTGACTTTCATAAACAAATACACAGACATGTATACACAGTGAATTAATGAATATTTCAGTTTTAATGTACAGATTTAAAAATTATATGTTCTTTATTTTTATTTTCTTAGTTTAATTCATTGAAAAGCCATTTGTTTTTAGGTAGTTCTAACCTTCTTTCCCTTTGGAGTCCAGTAGGAAAAAACAAACTGTAATAGTCTGTATAGTTAGGGTGGGATTTCCAGTATCAAAACCTAAAAATTCATGTCTCATTTTTGCTATATTTACGTTAGGTTTTTGTGTTGTTTTTTTGTAAAGAAGTAAAGTCTTATTTATAATTAGTCCTTCATCTTTATTTCCACCTTCCACATCCCTGATAATCACTGCTCTGTATAATTGATATGTATAATTCCTGTTCATGGTTTTGCAGTTTTATATATACTGTTTTAAAATTTGACAACCTTTTATTTGTACAGTTAAACAAATTATTCTTTATATATAAATAAAAGATATTACAGTCACACTAATCCTGCTTTTCTCCTTTTAAATATATAGTTAAACATGAATTTTTCTAGACCAGGGGTGGGGAACCTTTCTTCTGCCAAGGGCCATATGAATATTTGTAACATCATTTGCAGGCCACACAAAATTATTAACTTAAAAATTAGCCTGCTATATTTTGTCAAACATTTAATTAACTCACCCCTAATGCCTTGGCAGGGCCAGACCAACTGATTTTACAGGCTGAACTTTTCCCATCCCTGTTCTAGACCTTTCCTTATGCTATATATTATATGTAGTTAAAAAAAAAACTATAAAACATTAGGTTCTGTACTGTAAATATTGTTTCTAAATTTGCTTCTCCCTCCCTCCCAAAATGATAATGTGTAGGAGCTTTTAGCATTCAGTACATAAAGCTCTATTCCAACTCCATTCTTTTAACTGTTATAGAAGTAATTTATGGTTTTATTTATTTTGCCATTCCTCAGTGATGGATTTGAAGTTGCTTTCAGATTTTTAACCTTTATAAGCAATGGTGTTCTGAACCCCTTTGTGTTCATTTTTATTTCTCTTGCGTAACTACCAGATAGCTTAGCTATTGAACATTAGTATTTGTGTTTGTCATTTTCAGATTGCATCCTCCAAATTGGCTTTACTATGTTATATTCCTCATCTGCTAGCGATTATTTATCTTTTTGCTTCTTCTCCATAGGGTTTACTGGCACTGGGCATCAGTAAGTCTATTCAAACACCAGATCCTAGTCATCCGTAAGGACAATGCCTTTATCTTTTTTGTTTGTTTTGGTGGGTAGTCATTGAAATAAAAGCAACTTAATTTTAGAAGCCTGCTGTTTCTGTACCTGCAGTTTGTATTAAAAATTTGGTTATTTCTTCCACTGAAGTGTAGTCACTACTGTGTCAAAGTAAATTTAAGATATAATTTGAAAATAAGAGTTTAAAACTATTTATATGCTTTATAACATGGCATAGAGACCTTATACTTTTTACATATTTTGTTCTGTTTTATTATATTTGGTCAAAGGAAACATATATTTCATACTGAGACTAATAGACCACCAACTCTAAAATCTTAGCTATAGCCCTAGCCGATTTGGCTAAATTAACAGCTTTGTTCACCAAAATTTTAAAACAAACTAAAAATTTTAAATTGTAGGTTATAAAGATTTCTTAAGATATTTTCAGTAACCTATGTTATTGCTGCCCAGTAGAATATTCTACAAAATCTGTTCATTATGATAGTCACTAGCTATATTTGGCTATGGAGCACCTGAAATGTAGCTAGTGCAATTGAAGAACTGCATTTAAAATTTTACTTAGTTTTAATTAAATAGCCTTATGTGGCTAATGATTTATTTTGAACAGTGCAGATCTACTGAATTAAAAATTTCAATAAGAACCTACAGATTTCTTGAAAATAGGTAATGAAAGTAATGCTATTTAATTTAGGTCTTCATTTACTTTAACTTTATATTTATCTCCAGTATTATTTTGGTGGGGGAAACTTTTAGAAGCAAGTAAATTTTTTAAATCAAGCTTGTAGAACATTATCACATCTATAAACTAAGAATTCCCTATGTCAAAATTATACACTTACAAAAAGAATTTAAAAATCGGTTTTTAGTAAGAATTCTAGTTTAAATTTTCATCTGCCAAAAGGGTGCCATAGCATGTGGATTTGGGAGTAAATTTCCTAGGAAATATTTTTATTATTGAGTGATTGTTTTCCTTTTATACTATATCATATTTTTTAACTTAATGGTCAGTACTTTATTGGTACATATAGAAATAGAAAAGAATGCACATAAATACCAAAGATGCTTGGAAAAATAATTTGGATTTTAAAATTTGTCATTAGAAACATTGAGAAAACTGAAGCTCTTAGTCCTAATAATAGTAGTCAATTGCTCTGTGCTAAACTATATAGAACCAGAAGCAAGTTCTCAGCACCAAATATGGGTAATATAAATCACCCATTGGCTGTACAAAAAGACAAAAATAATCCAATTAGAAGCTGTATTACAAGGAAATTTAAATGTTATCCTGCTCATAAACATCTGATTGCATTTTTTTAAAAAGATTAACTTTACCAGCATTTGTTGTGGTACATGATAGTAAAGTTCTAGATCAAAACAGACTATATGGAAAAGAAATTAGCAGATACTTATACTAAATTGTATTCATTGTATTTATGTATTTTTTAATATAAGTTTTAAATTTTGTCCACTTTACATGTTGATTTTCTGATTGATTTAAGTTTGGCACTTAAACTTTACTTAAATATAAAATAATAACTTAACATTGTAATAATTTTTTCATTTTTATTACAATATATTTTAAAAGGAAACCATTTGTAGTTCTTGTAAACTATATTACCACTTTTATTTTTCAGGTATGGATTTTCAAATATGCGCTATATTGCTTCACTAATTAGTGGTGTTGGTATTTTCATGATGGGTGCAGGATTATCTTGGTACCATGGAATTATGGGATTGCTTCATCCTCAACCAATGGAATCCCTGCTTTGGGTAATTATCTCTGCCCCCTCCCCCCTGCGCTCAGTTTTGAAGTTATATGTCATAGTATTTAATACTTTGTGTTCTTGATGTTGAAGAACAGGACTAACATACCTTCTTGACTGTGTTTTGTAGTGTTATGTATATGTAGTTGTATTTTTTAGAATATGGTTGAGCATGACTTCTAAATACATGATTCAATGATGTCGAACAAGATCATCTCTATAGGTATAGTTATAATATTGAGCAGTCCCATTATTTTCTCTAGTTTCTGTTGAAAATAAGAAGAAAGACTTCTGTTCCCTTTTAGTCCCAAGAACAATCACCTATCAGTGATTAAAATATCCAGTCCCGTGTAATAGTCATATGTTGAAATTGTTATAAAGTTAAAGCTTCTCATTTCCCTCATCCTGGTAAGCCTTCCTGAAGAAATGAGAGGACGAGAGCATAGTCACTGTATGTATTCTCACACCCCTAGTCTGGCAGCATTGAAAATAGGGATAGGGGACAAGAAAATTCTACTTGTTGGCATCAATGTCATTTTGCATCAGTTTCCTTTGTAGAGATTTAAAGCTGTTTCTTGGGTTTTGTTTTCTTCTGTCATGGGCACTACCAGGAAATTACCCTACGTGGCAGCTCCCTTGATGAGCACAGTTGTGTTTATGCTAGCTATGGGTTTGGAGCTAAGAGTTGTAAAAGCAGGCCTGGGCCACCTATGCAAGGCTTGAGTAGGTGGTATATCGCCTCATTTTGGAATGTGGGGTGCTTGTAACCTATTTTGTTCTCAACTGGAGTACATCTCATTTTAATACCTTGTTACACCTTTTAAACTAGGCTTTTTCTATAGTTCTTATTGATTAGTTTCTCACTATATACATTTCAGATAATAAAAATGAAGAAGGGTATTTCCTCCATTCTGCAGGGATTTGACCATGTGATAGTTATCTCATTGTTTTATCATTCATTTAATTAGTACAATATTATTTTATAGTGGCAAAGAGGTTAATTGCACTGGAGTTAGGGATTGATTAATTAAATTTTAAATTATGTATATAAGTTTTAAAGCTTCTAGAAGTTATTCTATCTTTTAGTAACTAAATGGGGTTCCTTTTAATTAGGACTATGGCTGTTTGTTATAAAAAGTAGATTCAGCACACCATAAACCAGCTTATATTTATTAAAAATCTTGGTGGATATATGGTATCTCTTCTTATTAAATTCTTTCTGGAAAGATAGAAGGATTAAAAACAGTTATAAGAAAGTTTCGTTACTGTGTTTCAGATTGGCAGCTTGATTGAGTGTAAAGAACCCAGAATTGAAACGGAAAAGCTTGTGTTCTAATTCTTTTTTTTTGGGGGGGGAGGGGTGTGTTTGTGTGTGTGTGTTCTAATTCTTATTAAGTAAATCACATAGCCTTTGGAAATCTCAGTTTCCTTAACAGAATTATGAAAGTGTTGGACAGGGTTCAAAATTTTCAACCTCTATTTTAGAGAAGCTTAGGGGTCCAAAATAATGTTAAAAATTCTATAGATGATTGATTTAAATTTCATTTAAAAATTTTAAAAATTTGTGTTGCTAGTTTAATTCTTTCTATATGCCTTGGATTGCTTATAGTTGTCTTTTGGAATCAGAATTCAGAAAGGATTCTCTTTATACTTGGTATCCAAACAGATCTATAAGTTATTTGAGCATGGGAGTGGACCTTATTGCCTCTGGTATTCACAACCCTAGATTTCAAATAATTTGTGTTAATTTTGAACTTCAAAAATTTTATATTAATTAAATAATACTTTTACCTTTTATATCATTAATTGAGCTTAGGTTATGGTATACATTCTGTAATAGTATAGCACCTCATTTTGGAATGTGGGATACTTATAACCTAGGACTATATTATATATAGGGGTGGGCATGTATGGAAAATTATATAATAATAAATGATACAGAAATAAACTGTTTAATGTACTCACAAATGTAAACTTCTTTTACCCACCCATGTATTCATTTATATATGTATATAAAAGCCTAAGGGACTGCTATGACTAAACAACCAGAGTGGATGGTCAACCAGTTGCTATGACATGCACTGACCGCCAGGGGGCAGACACTCAACACAGGAGCTGCCCCCTGGTGGTCAGTGCACTCCCACAGCCAACATCCTGTGGCCCTTCCCCTTCGCAGCCCTTTCTCTCACCTCCTCCAGCTGGCTGGCCAACTTCCTGCAGCCCCTGTCTCCTCCTCCCCTCCCCTGCCCCCCCGCCAGGCCAGCCTGCCATTGGCCCTGATTGGGCCGGCCAACTTCCTGGGGTCCCTACCCCCTACCAGCCAGCACCCCAATAGCACTGGCCAGGCTGAGGGAATCCCACTCATGCATGAATCCATGCACTGAGTCTCTAGTCCTATATAATAAAAACAATATGCAAATTGACTGAACAGCAGAACAACAGTTGGAACAACTGGTCACTATGATGTGCACTGACCACCAGGAGGCAGATGCTCAATGCAGAAACTACTCCCAGCCTACAGGCCCTAGGCCAGCCAAGGCGAGTGCCAGCGGGGACCCCCCCCGAATTATCCCACCGGTTGCCCCGCAGAGGGAGTGAACTGGCAGTGGGGCGCAGGGCTGGCAAGCAGGTTGGCGCTGTCCCCAGATCACCCCACCAGTCACCTCCTGCAGAGGGAGGTGATCCGCAGAGGGATGTGGCCTGGCGCTGCAGTGGGAGGCGATTGGTGGCAGTCGTGGGAGCGGAGCTGGCAATTGCCCCACCTGTTGCCCTGCCAGTTGCCCCATAGATTGGCCCTGATCGCTGGCCAGGCCTAGGGACCCTACACATGCATGAATTTCATGTATTAGGCGCCTAGTAATACACACACACACACACACATATATATACACACATATATATACATGTATACACATATGTGTGTTATATGTATATGTATATATACATATATATGTGTGTGTATATGTATTACTCTTCTAATTATTATGAAATGAGGTGATAATTTTAACATTTTTAAGCTTTTATCTGTTTTCTCATATGAAGATACTACCTATCTCATTTTCCTCATTTGCCATCAAGATCCTTATTTGGCTTGAATTCAAATTCATGTTTCCATTTTAAATATTATAAACTTTATTTATGAACAATTGTGATTTTTAGTGAAATATTCATTTATGCTTTATTTTAATATTTATTTTTCAGGCATATTGTATTTTAGCAGGATCATTGTTATCAGAAGGAGGTATGTACTGTCATAGTATTTCTTTATTTTTAATTTAGTAATATATATTTAGTAGTTAATTAAAAGAATTGGGAATAGGAATCTAAGCTTTGTCTACTTTTAAGGAGTAAACTATATGATGTTCTGTGGCTGTTTCTGTAAAGGGTGGGGGCAAGGGAAAAGCTATTTCTTCTACAGTATCTTATGTAATAAAAGGCTAATATGCAAATCGACCGAACGGCAGAACAACTGGTCACTATGACGTGCAGTGACCACCAGGGGACAGACGCTCAATGCAGGAGCTGTGCCCTGGTGGTTCAGTGTGCTCCCACACCCGCGGCAGTGCTAAGGATTTCCGACAGCCGGTCCCTGCAGGCCACATTCCCACCAGTGCACAAATCCGTGCAGTGGGCCTCTAATCAGATCATAAAACTCAGAACATTTGAAATGAAGTATAAAAATATCACTATGGAATTCTAAAAAGAGGTTTTAGTATGTTAATCAAAGAAGGCTGTCTTTTTTTGTAATAGAAGTTTATCCAAGTTTCTGAAAGTTTCAGCTATAGCAGTATTATGCCAGAGAAGTGCTACTATCATATATGAAACTGCCTAATTCACTGCTTTACTCATAGTATGTTTACTTCTGAAACACTGTCACTTTCTATGCATAGTGTTTCATTCATCTTTGTCCATACGATGGTGATAATGCTACTTGCCTAAAAAGGTTGGGAGGATCAAGAATGACTATGCTTACTTAGTGTGGTGCCCGCCAAATATCGATAGTAACTGTCCAAAAAAATTAAAGCTGCTGTTGTGGTAATGATATTTAAATTACCGTGGTTTTGAAATACGGGCTTCATTACATTGTGATGATTAATTGGGACCTTGATAATGACTAATTAATACAGAACTTTTCCTTAATTCCAACCCATGGCATTAAAGTGTTACACATATTTATTTATCTTTTGAGATACCATCTTTAAAGTTTGGAGGCATGAAGTTTCTTCCTTGCTGATATGAATGCTTTTCTTTCAGCAACACTTCTTGTTGCTGTAAATGAACTGCGTAGGAGTGCTGCGGCCAAAGGAATGTCATTTTACAAGTATGGTATGTGCTTCAGAAACCATGTGTATTATTTTACCTCCTTTATTTGCTTAAGATTGCCTGGCACTATTGCTTTGTTCCTTATAAGTACGTATAAAATATCTTCCCTATGTGTGGCTCTGTTCATTTTTTTTAATTTAATTTTTTTCTTTATTGATTAAGGTATCACATATGTGTCCTTTATCACCCCATTGTCCCCTCACTGTATCAGTTCATTTAAAAAGAGAAGTATAATGTGATTTGAACATGAATACTTTATATTTGAATTTAACTTAAGTAAACTACAGTATTTATGTATACGCTTATATAACTTAAAAAGCAATTTGAACATGTAAACCAAGAAATTGTTTGCACTGAGCAGTGTTTTAAAAATCAGGATATCACACATTTTTAATCTTCATTTAAATCTTAATTTTAAATGGATACTTATTAAAATGTTATCTGAGAGTATCAAGTTAAGATTTCAGAAAGTTTCTTTTTCTCTCCCCAATGATTAAGTAATGGAGAGTCGTGATCCTAGTACAAATGTTATTTTATTGGAGGATACTGCAGCAGTCTTGGGAGTGACAATAGCAGCCACTTGTATGGGCCTTACTTCCATAACAGGTAAATATTCCTTATGTTACAGGTGATTTATTTGTACTATTTAAATAATCCTATGTGGAAATTTTCTTTTACATCATTGAATAATTTTAAGTCAATAGAGTTAGATGCTAATTTTATACTAACCTAACTTATTAACTTATTTGTATAAAACATTTGGTCAGTAAAAGTATAAAATTTCTCTTCCTTTCTTAGAAATAAGGAAGTCTGTAATAGAGCATTTCTGTAATACTCTAAACCTTTCTAACTATGACTTAATGAATTATGCAATTATTATTTACCATAAGTTACACAATTATTCTTTATGTGTAGAAGTATTGATATTTGTCCTAGTGACCTCACAGGTTTATTAAGATAAATGCAAGAGAGAACTTTAATAAATTCTAAAGCGCTAAATAAATACATATTGTGGCTCTTGTTAATTTGTCTTTTGCATTATTAGTCCCAAAATAAGTGCTATTGCTTTCCTATTTCCTTGACTCAAGTTGGTTCCACCCTCATTTTGGTAGCTAGTTAAGTGTTTTAAAGGCCAGTATATTACAGATGAATTAGAAGTCAGAATGTAAAACAGAATTATTTAGTATGCAAAGACTCAAATTTCTGAGGTCGGAATAGTCTTGAATGGAACTCCTTCCATTTTTAACCATTTGTACTTGCATATTTAAATAATTGGAGGTGATAAGTTCTTATAGTTTTATAGTGTTTTTTAAAATACTCTAAAATATCGATATGAACAGGTCTTTTTCATTTTGAATATACATTTTAAGTCTTAACCAGCATTCTTTGATGTTTTATTGTTTTTCTGGCTAACTTTATCATTTTAGACATAAATCATTATTAGCAAAATTTCAGGCTTAAGAAAAGTGTGACTTGACAAGTCAATTTTTAATAGATTATTTTCTTTTATATTATAATGTTAGTCAAACATACAATTTTTGTTTTAAGCATATTCACATGAATTAAGTTTTGTTTAGTTAAATTAATTCATTTAAATTAAATTAACATGCCAATAAATAAATATATATTTAGCTAATATTCCTGTGATTTCTGTAGGATTATTTATATACATATATTTTTAAATAAAAATGATTAAATTTGGATTTCTAAAGTGCAATGCAGTGTATTTTATTTCAATCTCTATAATTATATGCCTCCTAGTACATTATACTGTATTCACAAGTGGATCATTTTAATACAGATAAGTCAGTTTACTTTTCAGTGTTATATTTCTTACTAAATATTAATAAAACTAGTATGTAAATTGAGTTTTTTAGTAAAATATGGTTTATCAAGCATTAAGAGACTTAAATTTAATATTGACATTTTATCTTTAGAATAAAAAGATTTCTCTAATAATAAAAGCCATGTGTTGTAATATTTAATTGATGTCTGTTATATAAATACTAGACACCTGGTACACAAATTTGTGCAAGGGTGGGGTCCCTTGGCCCAGCCAGTATTTGGGGCCATTTGGTGCTGTCCTGTCCAACCCCAATCAGGGCCACCTGGTTGGGGGGAGGGACCACAGGAGATTGGCTGGCCGCAGGAGGGTGTGCACTGACCACCAGGGGACAGCTCCTTCATTGAGCATCTGCCTTCTGGTGGTCAGTGTGCATCATAGCGACTGGTCCCAACAGTCACTTAGGCTTTTATGTATATAGATTAATCTGCACATTTATAAAGCATCTCATTGGTTTTGGAAGAGAATTAAGCCCTAATAATCAAAGACAAATTTTAGAATCAGAATTGCCTGGAGGTTGGGAAGACTCAGAATCCTGACCCCACCTCCAGAGTTTTTGATTTGGAAGATCTAGGGTAAGACCTGAGAATTTGCATTTCTACTAAGTTCTCAACTGATGCTGATGATGATGGTTAAAGGACCAAAATATTACTTTGAGAGCCACTGCTCAAAGGTACCTAGAGAAGCAGTGAATGAACTTTCTTTTTAGTATCCAAAATAGTATTAACTATGTAATCACCCTTGGTTGAATGATAAAGGAGTGAACCATATACGTTTTTATATGGCTTCTATAATTTTCTCATAAAACTTTGGTAGGACTAAGACACAAAAATTGTTATTTCTTTCAGTTTTTGATCTTATAATTATTTTGCTTCTGTTACTGCTAACAGAAATGGACTCTTTATTATGTTGTTAATCTATCATAATAAAAATGTAATATGCTAATTAGATCGGACATGCTTCCTGATGTCCTTCTTTCTGGACAAAGCCTCAGCAGGCGGGGGCCGCAGCAAAGGTGGCAGAGGCCTCTGACTGCAATGGTGGCGGGGCTGGGGCCAAGGCCCTTGCCATGAATTTCATGGATCAGGCCTCTAGTATGTACATGAATTCTCTAATCTGAAAATGCTCAGAAGCTTCACCCATATAATGGCCAGATGCAAAAAACAGATCTTAAATAATTAAGCCCCATAATATTCCCATGTAATATGAAGCAAGTTGTATCATCCCCATTTTTGTAGTAAGGTAACTAAATCTGTAAGGAGAAGTCATTAAAGGAATCAGAATGAATTTGAAGTCCTTTGATTTATTGATTATGTTCTAAAGCTCAATGAAATAATAGAAAATGTTAACTTACTGACTTCTTATGTGCTTTATTTAGGCAATCCACTGTACGACAGCCTAGGTTCTTTGGGTGTGGGCACCTTATTAGGCGTTGTCTCAGCATTCCTCATTTACACTAACACCGAAGCACTACTAGGGCGATCCATCCAGCCGGAACAAGTACAGCGGCTTACTGAACTCCTGGAGAATGACCCATCAGTAAGGTCAGTTTATTCCTATGCTGCTGCTAAGGTTTATAGAATCATTAAGAAATAGGTATGTTTGGTTGTAAATTCTTTCAGAGGAGGTTTTAGATTCCTAGACTTCAGAACTTTTTAATCTATTACTTTTCAGAGTTGCAAACTTACAACAATTAGCAAATGAAAGCATTTAAGAAGCTCCTTAAGTATTCTTTTAAATTTTGTGTATCTTTAATGTTTAGAATAAGAAACAGAAATTTGCAAAGTAGTTGTCTCCTTAATATGAAACCACTTAGGTGGATCTTTCATATTTATATTTGCCTTATATTTGTATTACAATTATAAATTGAATATACTAAATTTAAGAAGATTTTTATCATAGGGAAGTGATTACCAAATTTAATATAATTTATATTCTCTTCAAAAATAAATTTATTGTTTTAACTTATTTTAAGTTTTTCCTTATAATCTCTATCTTTTAAATTGTCCTATATAATAAAATGCTAATATGCAAATTGCTCCCTGAACTGAAGTTCAACCAGAAGTTCGACCAGGGGGCAGGGCCTGCCAACTGCCCACCGCCTGCCCCCCTGGCTGGCCTGGCCCGATCAGCCCCGAATGGGGCAGGCTGGCTGGACCTCACCCGTGCACGAATTCATGCACAGGGCCTTTAGTCCTATATAATAAAGAAGTAATATGCAAATTGACCATAACACCCTCTCATAAGATGGCCACCCCAATGTGGTCATAAGATGACTACCACAAGATGACCAGCAAAGGAGGGCAGTGGGGGTGAATGGGCTGGCAGGTGAGGGCAGTTGGAGCAATCGAGTCAGCATGGGAGTAGTTGGGCGTTGATCAGGCTAGCAGGGGAATGGTTAGGGGTGATTAGGCAGGTAGGCAAGTGAGTTGTTGGAAGTCAGCAATTCCGGATTGTGAGAGGGATCCCAAATTGGAGAGGGTACAGGCTGAGCTGAGGGACACCCCCTCCCCCCAGTGCACGAGTTTTGTGCACCAGGCCTCTAGTATAAGAATGAAGAACAGAAGACTTAGAAGAGAATCAGATACAGAGGCCTGTTGTTTTTTTTTAAATATATTTTTATTGATTTTAGAGAGGAAGAGAGAGGGAGAGAGAGAGAAATATCAATGATGAGAGAGAATCATTGATCAGCTGCCTCCTGCATGACCCCTACTGGGGATCGAGTCAACAACCCAGGCATATGCCCTTGACTGGAATCTATCCACTGAGCCAAACTATCTAGGGCAAGATACAGAGTTCTGATAGTATTTTTTCAGTGAAATTCAGCAGCAGTGTAGTTTCAGAATGAAGTGGAAGGAACAATCCTTTAAAATTCCAGTTTTAAACTTTAAAATAAGAGTGTATTTTTCTGCCAAAACCGGTTTGGCTCAGTGGATGGACCGTCGGCCTGCGGACTGGAAGGTCCTGGGTTTGATTCCGGTCAAGGACATGTACCTGGGTTGCGAGCACATCCCCAGTGGGAGGTGTGCAGGAGGCAGCTGATTGATGATTCTCTTTCATCGATATTTCTAACTCTCCCTCTCCTTTCCTCTGTAAAAAATCAATAAAATATATTTTAAAAAGTGTATTTTTCTTCTGGATTATAATTAAACTCTTTGAGTTAAATCTTTTAAGAATGGCCTATATGTCTGAATTGGTAAAACAAATGAGTGATTAAGCCCTGTATCTTTAATCTTGAAAAATAATTACCTAGATGGATCTAGATTAGAAATTGAGCATTCTTTTTGTTGTTAATTCTCACCTGAAACTATTTTTTATTTTATTTTATTGACTTTTAGAGAGAGTGGAAGGGAGAGGACAGAAAGAGAGAGAAACATCAAGTGACACTCCATTGGTTGTCTCCTGCATGCATCCAAAGTCAAATCTCATCATTGATGTTTCAGTATCTCTCTCCTCCCTTCCTCTCTGAAATCAATGAAAATATATTAAAAAAAAAAAAAAAAAGAAGAAGTTGAGCATTCTTAAAATAAGAATTAAGCTTAGTAACTTAATGTAAAAAAAAATCCATATTAATGTCTTTTTCTTGTAATATCTTTGATTTTGGTATCACGGTAATACCTTATAGAAAAGTTGGGGAATGTTTCCTTTTCTTATATTCTTTGGAAGAGTTTGTGAAGATTTGGTAGTATTTCTTTAAATGTTTGGTAGAATTCAGCAGTGATGCCATCTGGGCATGGCTTTTTCTGTGTGACTAGTTTTTTGTTTTTTTTTTATTTTATTGCTAATTCTATCTCCACTAGTTATACATCTGTTCAGATTGTCTTTTTCTTCTTGAGTCAGTTCTGGTACTTTGTATCTAAGAATTTGTCCACTACTTCTGAGTTATCTAACAACAGTACATAGTACTTCTTTGTAGTTCTTTTTATTTCTTTAGTTTAGTAGTGTTTTTTCTCTCAATGCTGATTCTAGTAATTTGAGTCTCCTCTTGTTTTTCTTGGTTGGTCTAACTAAAGGTTTGTAAATTTTGTTGATCTTTTTAGAAAACCATCTTTTGTTGAATTCATTTTCTGTTATTTCTTTTTTTCTATTTCATGAATTTTTGCTCTAACTTATATTATTTTTTTTCTGCTTGCTTTAGGTTGTTTGCTCTTTTTCCAATTTCTCTTAAGATAGTAGGTTAAGTTTTGATTTGCTGTCCTTAAACTTAATATAAGTTTTTACAGTTACAAATTTCCCTCCAAACTCTACTTTTGCTGCTTCCTATAAATTTTGGTATTTTGTGGCTTCATTCTCATTTATTTCAAATAATTTTCTCACTTTTTAAAAATATATATATTTTATTGATTTTTTTTACAGAGAGGAAAGGAGAGGGATAGAGAGCTAGAAACATCGATGAGAGAGAAACATGGACCAGCTGCCCCCTGCACACTCCTCACCAGGGATGTGCCGGCAACCAAGGTACATGCCCTTGACTGGAATCGAACCCGGGACGAACCTTCAGTCCACAGGTCGACACTCCATTCACGGAGCCAAACCTGTTTCGGCTCTAATCTCACTTTTGATTTCTTCTTTAGCATTGGTGATTTATAAGTGTCTTAATTTCCATGTATTTGTGAGTTTCCCAAATGTCTCTGTGTTATTGATTTCCTACTTTATTCCATTTTGGTTGGAGAACATGTTCTTTAAATTTACTGGTTTTATGACCTACCATATGATCCACCTTGCATACTATTGTATAAATGTCTGTTAGATTTAATTCATTTATAGTGTTTAAGCCTTCTATTTTCCTGTTAATCTTATTGTCTAGTTATTTTTTTCATTACTGCAAGTAGGATATTAGAAGTCTCCAACTATTGTTGAATTGCCTATTTCTGCTTTTATTTTTCTCAGTTTTTGTTTTATGTATTTAAGTGTAAAAGAAGAGCTATAAGTGGAAAGATTGACTGACAAATTTGAACTTTTCTATAAGAGTGAAGATCTGTATATTAAATGGTTGGAAAAAATAAATGTTAGTAATCCAGAAAATCTACAGCTTTTTATTTTTTTTATTTTTTATTTTTTAAAATATATTTTATTGATTTTTCACAGAGAGGAAGAGAGAGGGATAGAGAGTTAGAAACATCGATGAAAAAGAATCCTCGATCAGCTGCCTCTTGCATACCTTCTACTGGGGATGTGCCACTTGACCAGAATCGAACCCGGGACCCTTCAGTCCGCAGGCTGACGCTCTATCCACTGAGCCAAACCGGTTTCGGCTATACAGCTTTTTCGATACTGTACTAGTTATCTTTTGCTATGTCATAAAATACCCCAAAATTCAGTGACTTAAAACATTGATTAACTCACAGTTCTGTGGGTCAGGAATCTGGCCATGATTTATGTAGGTCCTCCACTTTAGGATTTCTCACAGACTGTCATTAAGATGTTAGTTGGGACGAAAGTCATCTTCTGGGGATGGGTCTGCTTTTGAGCTTACTCAGTTGTTGATATGATTGTTTTTGCCACATGGTCCTCTCCAACATGGCCGCTTGTTTAATCAAAGAATGCAAGCTGAGAAGGCAATAGAGATTGAGGGTAAACAAGATAAAAGTGGTGAAATGGTTCTTTCTTATCATTGATGTTTCTGTCTCTCCCTCAGTGGATAGAGCATCGGCCTGCGGACTCAAGGGTCCCAGGTTCGATTCTGGTCAAGGGAATATACCTTGGTTGCAGGCACATACCCAGTAGGGAGTGTGCAGGAGGCAGCTGATCGATGTTTCTAACTCTCTATTCCTCTCCCTTCCTTTCTTTAAAAAATCAATAAAACACATATGTTTAAAAAGTGATGAAATGACATCTCATCGCTTTGCCATACTCTGTTGGATAGGAGCAAGTCACCAGGTCTAGCTCACATTCAAGAAGAGAGGCTTGTACAGGGCTTTAAAAACAGGAGGCAGGGATCATATGGAACCATGACAGATACTACCTATGACAGCTTAGTTTTGTATAAGAACACAAAGAAAGTGTACATTAGGATATTTTCATTACCTGCTATTCATGTATAGTAAATAATCAAATTTAGTAGTATTTTTTAAGGACTGAGGTAGATATATTTTTTTAAAAAGAATAAATTGCATAACCTCTTGACAATCTGAGCAAGTTTTATTTCAACTTGGACACACATAACTTTATCAATATTAATTCCTTTTTTAAAAGAATAATTTACTGATTTTTAGAGAGGGAGGAAGGGAGCAGGAAAGAGAAATATCAATATGAGAATGAAATATCAATTGGCTGCCTCCTGCATACCTCCTACCAGGGATTGAGCCTGAAACCCAGGCATATGCCCTTGACTGGGAATTGAACAGGTAACCTTTCCATGCATGGGATGACACCCAACAAACTGAACCACAACAGCCAGGACAATGTTAATTATCCTTATTTTTATCCTTGATAGTTAATGAATATGTTTCTTTGTGTAGATAAGACTTTCAGACTCAGTATTTAGTAACTTGCTCAAGATCACTCAGAAATTAGAGTCAAATGTTTTAAGAATACTTGGAGTCTCATTTAGACTTGTTTTCCCTATAGCTCTCTATGTCCCTAGGATTCACAATATTTTCTTATTCTCGTATATGTCCTATTAAGATATTATAGTGATTATCATAGAAGAAAAATAATTTCTCAATAGTGTTTTGGGAGAAGATTATTCCAGAGGGTATGAGCAGAAAGGATGAAACACAGTTATGCTTGAGCTTCCCTTTCTGAGAAGCAAAATGGTATAATGGAAAGAGAAGATCTGGGTGAGTCCAGGCTCTGCTCTTGACTAGTTGAATTGCCTTGGACACGTCACTAGTGCCCCTGTGGGGCTGTTTCATCATCTATAAAGTAAAGATATCATCGTACCTACTTTGTAAAAGCCATTCAGTACTGGTTGGTAAATGTCTGCCATGGAATTGGTAACTTTAAGCATTTTATATATGTGTTGACTCAATTTATTACATTTGTTTCATTAGGTAGTTATTACTAAGCTATTCTAGTAGAGTACTTTAGAGCGTTGTTTGAAAACTTTTAAAGAAGCTATTTAGCCCAGCTGGTGGGCTCAGAGCATTGGCCTATGGACTGACGGTCCAGGTTCAAATCCTGTCAAGGGCACGTGCCTGGGTTGCGGGATTGATTCCCCAGTAGGGGTCATGCAGGAGGCAGCCAATCAATGATTCTTTCTTATCATTTCTATCTCTCCCTCTCCCTTCGTCTCTGAAATAAATAAAAATATATTAAAAAAAGAAAAAAGAGGGACCTTGAAATAGAATGACCAGATTATTGAAAAGTAATTTAGAGTTGATTTTAAAAAATCTATTAACTTTATAATTTATGTATATAATTTATGTATAAACATTATTTTATTGATTACCATAAAATAATGTTTATTAAATTTACACCTTTGGCATTATGTAAAAATAGCTAAATGGACATTTGTTTGGAAAATGATAGATGGCACTTAATGGTAAACACTCTGAAAGCCATTTTAGTCCATGTTCATCACTGGTGGAAAAAATAATTCTAGACTATGTGCCATTAAAGCATATATATGTAACTATTTGTAACCATTGTTATTGATTGCAGGGCAATTCATGATGTTAAAGCTACAGATTTGGGACTAGGTAAAGTAAGATTTAAGGCAGAAGTAGATTTTGATGGACGAGTTGTTACAAGATCATATTTGGAAAAACAAGATTTTGACCAAATGCTACAGGTAAGTGTATGTATTTATTGTTTTCTTATAAAAGCAGTGATTTTAAAAGTTACTTTTTAAATAAATGAAATAAATATTTTTAAAAATATTTTTTTGAGAGAGAAAAAAAGAGAGGCGGGAAAGACAGAGAAACATTGATGTGAGAGCTGATGGGCTACCTCCTGCACACCTCCTCTGGGGATTGTTCCTGCAGCCTGGGCATGTGCCCTGACCATGAATCAAACCAGCAGCCTTTCAAGGTGCGGATGATGCCCAATAAACTGAGCCACCTTGACCAGGGCTAAAATAAAACTTTTTTTTTTTTTTTTTAGTTCATAAAGTCACTTTAGCCTTCAACTTCTTAGGGTTCTAAAATTTGACAGAGATCCTTTTATTTACTGTAGAGTAGACTAGAGGAGAGAGAAGTGCAAACGTATAAAGTGCTGGCCAGACATTTTATATATATTACCTAATGTACTTTTAACAACCTTGGTGAGGTAAAGGAATTATATATATTTAAAAAAAAAAAAATATATATATATGTGTGTGTATAATCTTTTATTGATTTTTCACAGAAAGGAAGGCAGAAGGACAGAGAGCTAGAAACATCGATGAGAGAGAAACGTTGACTCGCTGCCTCCTACACACCCCCTACCAGGGATGTGCCTGCAACCAATGTACATGCCCTTGACCGGAATCAATCCAGTCCGAAGACAGATACTCTATCCACTGAGCCAAACTGGTTTCGGCAAGAAATATTTTTGTCCTGGCTGATATGGCTCAGTGATTACAGTGTCAGCGCATGCACCAAATTTCTCGGGTTCAATATCCTATCAAGGGCATGTACCAGGGTTGCAGGTTTTGTCCCCTACCCCCATTGGTCAGGCATGTGCCGGAGGCAACCCATTGAAATGTCTCTCTCACATCGATGTTTCTCTCCCACTCAACCCCATTCTTCCACTTTCTCTAAAAATTAACAGAAAAAAAATATCCTTAGGTGAGGATTACAGAAAATAAATAATCCATTTTAAAAAAAAAATCTTCAAAGGAAGCTTAAATCACACATAAGTGGTTGGAAATGCCAGAAGAAGTGGCCACATAGTAGAGGCAGTTATGTTTTTTTGTTTTTTTATTGTTTTCTTAAATATTTTATTGATCATTTTCACAGAGAGGAAGGGAGAGGAACAGAGAGCTAGTATTATTTACTGAATAGTGTTTTTGTTTTTGCTTTTTACCACTAATTTCTATGCTACCTTAATGTGGTATTTTACTCAATATAAGTTTTTCAGAAATAGATTGTTTATTGCCTGTGGCTTGAAAGTTGTCTCTTTATTTATTTACTTTAAAGTATATTTTATTGATTTTTTTACAAAGAGGAAGGGAGAGGGATAGTTAGAAACATCAATCAACTGCCTCCTGCACACCCCCTAATGGAGGTGTGCTCACAACCAAAGTACATGCCCTTGTCCAGAATCAAACTTGGGATCTCTGCAGGCTGACGCTCTTTCCACTGAGCCAAACCATTTAGGGCATCTTTTTATTTTTTTAATTCTCACCTGAGGACATGCTTATTGATTGTTAGAGAGAGAGGGGAGAAGGGAGAAAGACGCGAGAGAGAGAGAGAGAGAGAGAGAGAGAGAGAGAGAGAGAGAGAGAGAGAGAGAGAGACAGACAGACAGACAGACATTTATCAGAGAGAGAAACATTGATATGAGAAACATCAATAGTTGGTTGCTTTCTCGTAAGCTCCCTAACGGGATGGAAACCACAACCTTTTGTTATATGTGACGTCATTCCAATCAACTGAGCAGGGCCAGCTTAAAAAGTTTTTCATTTTTCATTAAACTTAATGGTGTCACAACTTATTAAAAGAAATCATCAACATATTACTGTGATTTTATAAAATTTTTATTTTGTTTTTTGCTATCATTCTCTTCATAGGAAATTCAAGAAGTAAAAACTCCTGAAGAACTAGAGACATTTATGCTTAAACATGGAGAAAATATTATTGATACTTTGGGAGCTGAAGTAGATAGACTTGAGAAGGAACTAAAAGTAAGATATATTCATTATAATAATATAACAAAGTAATAATTTATTTTTTGAGTACTTATTGTATGTCAGACACTATACTAATTGCATCTTATGTATATTATCTCAATAACCCATGATGTATTGGTTGCCTTGGGTGAGAAATGATTGGGTTGGAAAAATTATTTTGTGAAACTCAAAATAATTTGTTCAAGAAAGTAGGGTAATTGGGATTTGAACCTATGTAGCTCAACTTTAATTTCTTTACGTCTATCACTATTCTATATGCTTGCATAGTATTTAAAATAGTCAAATGTTTTTGTTAAGTTAGGGAAAAATGGTGTGTGACAGACAAACATATGCATCTTGCTTTTTTAGTCTATCTGATGTTATATTTTCTGTTTGTTTTGTTCAGTTGGAGATCATAACAACCTATTGGTTACTTTACTGAAAAATTTTAAAAATTCTCAGTGTTCTTAGATTGTCATTTATTGACATTTGAGTTCTATTTGTTTGCAGTAAATAAAACTTGAAAATGATCTTTAACATAGCTTTTTGAAGGCCATACATTTTTTTCCAGTTAATGTTGACCATTTAAAAAAAATATATAGTTTTAATTGATTTCTGAGAGGAAAGGAGAGGGAGAGATAAGAAACATCAATGATGAGGGAGAATCATTGATCGGCTGCTTCCTACACACCCCCTACTGGGGATTGAGCCTGCAACCCAGGCATGTGCCCCTGACTGGAATCAAACCCAGGACCCCCCGCTGTCCACAGGCCAACGCTCTATTCATTGAGCCAGACTGGCTAGGGCAACCATTTTTTACTTTTGTTAAAAATTGAAGGAAAACAAAAGCAAAAATTGAGGGGAAGCATATCACTACTTATTCTCTTTTCTTTTATAATCCAGATCTGATCACATTAATAGAAGTACTTCAATTAAGATTATTTTATTAATGTTAATATTATAGTTCAAAAACTTTGTCAGGCAATATTTTTGAAGTTTGTACATGAGCAATTTTCACATATTTTACATTCTTAAAAATTATTGAGGACCCAAAGAGCTTTTGTTTGTTTATAGTTGTTGATATTTACCAAATCATAAATTAAAACTGAGAAATTGAAAAATATTTTATTTAAAAGCAAAAATTGATTACATGTTAATGTAAATAACATTTTAACAAAAAATAAGTTTTCTAAAATGAAAAAAATTAGTGAGAACAGTGGTATTGTTTCACAGTTTTGTAAAACTCAAAAACAGCCAGATTCCTATGTCTGTTTCTACATCCATATATTCTTTTGGTTGAATAATATGAAGAAAGGAGCACAAGCATATTCTTATACCTTTTCAAATGATTGTGCTATTCTCTTTTGATATACCAAAGCCTGACAACTGATAACCTCTTTTAAAAAAATCCTATATAACAGAAGCCTGATATGCAAATTGGCCAAACAGTATGCTACAGTGAAATAGTTTGATCAAATGTTTTCAATGGCTTTAGTGACCAAAAGGAATACAAGAAAGAGAAGATTCTATTTTGCTCTGAATAACATGGTGGTGATTTTTCCTTTCAGAAACGAAATCCTGAAGTTCGACATGTTGATTTGGAAATATTATAGATTTGATGGAATGAATCACTTCAGAGGGACCTTGGAAACAAGTTTGTTGAGCCTTCTTTCCCACATTGAAGGAGTCAACGCCATTCAGAAGCAACTCTTTTTTAAGATGAAGGAAATATTTTATGTAAAAGGGCAATTCAATAATCTACAGAACTAAAACTACTTCTTCTAAGAGACACATTACAAATTGAACCAGTTTGGAAATCAAGTTTTTATGTTTTAGAAGGAAACAGTTAAATTGATCACAATTTCTCATTTTGGCCTGTCAGAGTATATTGTACCTTACAATCATGTTTTCTTTCTTCATATTGGTAAAAATAAGCAGCATCCATAGGGTTATTAATTTTATTTCCACTGAAGACTTCACTCCATCAAAACCTGCCAATACTGAACGTGCTGGCTAAATCTTGGTTTGTGGTTTTTAAAGTCACACCGCTTCAGTCTGCCGTTACAGAATATGAAAATTATTTTTACATACCTTATGATTTTGCCCTGAGCACTAAGAGGGGCACTCTCCTAACCTGGTTATCCATAAATGTTCATTCCAGAATGGGCTTGGTTACTGAATTGAAGGAAGGCATTTTAATTCAGCCTTTGAGGTCATAGTAGTTGCCATTTTGTAAAATTTATTATTTCTCCTTTGCTTTCTTACTTGGTTTAATTTTTGTGATGGCAAAAGAAAAAAATAACCCTATATGTTTCCATGGGCCAGTGTAATGACTGGCTTTTTGTTTTTTAACTGGCTTCAGTGCCATCGTGTGTATTTATTAGGACATAATGCATTTATAAGTATTTTGACATTCTGTATAATGGGCTAGAAATATTTATAATTTTATAGATAAGGTAACATTTTACTTTTAATTTATTTTAAAAGGCACTACTTATGTAAACCTGAACTATGGGATATTTCTTGCTTTAAGAGAAAGAGAGAGAAGTAAATCTCTTATGCAGAACTTGTGTCCTTGATTTTTTATAACACCATAGTCTGTAGCATGTCTGTAACCTGAGTTCCTCACAGTTACAAATGGGCATTTAGCATAAATATGGCTATAAGATTAGGTAAGTAGTTTTCTAATGATTATAAGGTATCAAGGTGAAAAGAAATACAGTTGAGTAATTAAAAATCTAGTGCAAAACTACAGCTCTGTCCCCTTTCATCAAAATGGCTCAGGTATCACTGAGCATTGTCCACACAAATGATGGCTGAGGGATCTCTCTGCTGGGTAAATGAGTGCTTGACTTAAGGACCTAACTACCTATATGAGGTCAGTGTCTAAAACTTACTTAGATCAAAGTTAATGAATTACAGCAAATTGTAATGCTGAAACAAACAAAAATAACATTTGATTAGAGGTTATAATGATAATTTTTGACCCATAAATGTAATCTACTGGAAAATTGTGAAAGTGTACATTGTGGTACATTTATTTTTACCATTACAGAGCATTTTGCATGCTGTACATTTTAAATGAAATTACATTCCAGTTTTATTTTTTAAGATAAAAAAATTATTGTATATATATACATATATATAATTTGATTCTCTGTTCTTATGGTTTCAAATTCTTCACTCACTTTTTTCTGAAACTGGTTTTCCCCCTTATAATTCACTCTATACACTGTGTTCTTCCTCTCTCCCCTTTTCCACCTGCCATTTTTTTTTTTTCCATGTCACTGCCAATATGGGAAAGTACCAAATTCTACCAATTCTCTCCTTGTAAAATTACTCTGAAAAATTTCATGTAGTTAGACAATAATAACTCCTTAAAATATCTCAAATTTGGTTTTCTAATCTGATTTGATTGAGGTCATAATTATTCTTAAATAACTGAAGGCTTATGTTTGTCTCATTTTCAGTGCTGTTGTGCACCGGTATTTTATAGTTTAAGCAAAACTGGATATGAGGAAGCATAGTACATGTAAAGTAATTTGAATGTTTCTGTGGGATCAGGAAATGTAAGACCTCTCTGGACTTTTTTTCTTTTAAACTACAGTCAAATTTGAATTTGAAAACCAGGGGATTTGGGTCTCTCTTTTAAAATAAGATATCTCATTCAGGTTTCTTGTTTATGTGTGTGTGTGTGTTTCCAAATTAATACTTCTTTTAAGTCTTATCCTATTCCATAGCATTTGAATATTTAAACATATAAATCTTAATATTTTAAAGGAAATAGCTCCTGTAGTAGAATAGTAATAAGACTAATGTTGGACAGAAGAGGACGGTCAAGGGCTCCTGACTTCTCTCTGTACTAAGCTGAAATCTGGAAACTATCGGAGGTCAAGTGTGCTTGTTTTCAGCTTTGGCTGAGAATGGATCTCTAATCAGGTCCCAAACTAGGTAAGGTGGCACATTTTTTTTTTTTTTTTTTTGAGACCATGGCAGAGGGAGGGAGAGTGAGGGATGGAAACCTATTTATAAGTGGATCATATTAGTAGCCAATAGTATCCAATTCCAAAGAGGAAGATTTCTGAACATAGAGAGGAAACTGAGCTAGGACCAGATTGGAAATCCACCCCCGCCACTCCCCTGCCCCCAGAAAAGTTAATCTCTTCATACATCATCCTACATAAACCCCACATAACCCAGAATAACAAAAGGCATAATAACACTTGAATTTGGGATATATGACTTTAGTGCCACCTTAATTATCCTAGAATTTGGATAATGCTTTTTGTTAAAATTGTACCATCTAAATAAAGGAAATTACTTCTGTCTTAAATTTGGTAACTTTTTTAGGTAGAATTCTAGGACCTACAGAAAATCGTACAGGCATTTGGGATTGATTCTGTCTTTCTCAAATTGTATTTGTCAAGTTTTGGCATTTAAAAATAAATGCTGACCTTCAGTTCACCAAACTGTCAGAAGTCAGTGAAGCAAAGAATTGAATGTAAAAGGTGGATTCAGAGATTGTCTCTCCTAACTCTCTCATCCCTGTTTCTGAAATGGGACTTTGGAAGGATTTATATAGAAAATTGGTCTTGCAGTCTTTACATTTGCATTTAAGTTTACTAGCATTCCTAGACTTGGTTTTATGGAAGAAGAGAAATTCCATTTCTATTACATTGTGTTTCAGTTGTCTGATTTCATTGGCAGATTAAGATGGTCCTGGTCCCTCAGGATGCTTTTTTTTTTTCCTTAATAAATGTCTTATGTAAAAAAGAGCAGTTCACTTATTAGTTTGGGATTTTCCCCCGTTGTAAATAAATGTGGTTCTTTTTGTAACATAAATTCTTCTTTACCTCATGTATTAAAAACTAAGCTGTGTCATTGGATACATTTTACCTTAAAAATCATGCTTATGTTTTTTAACAGAATTTATTATTCATTGAATATGTTTGTTAGATTATAGTTTCCTGGTTTCACAAAAGTAACAAAATTTTTTTTTTATCCTCACCCAATGATACTTTTTCATTGATTTTTAGAGAAATATTGAAGTGAGAAAAACACATTAATTGGTTACCTTCTGCATGAGTCCCAACCAGGGCCTGGGCCAGGGAGTAACCTGCAACTGAGGTACACGCTCTTGACTGGAATCGAACCTGGGACCCTTCAGTCTGCAGGCCAATACTCTACACTGAGCCAAACTGGCTAGGGCTTCAACAATTCTTAATTCTAAAGTCAGTTTTCAATATAAAGAGAAGTTTGTTATTATAATAGGATGTCATGTGTTTGCTAACGCCCAAATCTAAGAAAGTATATCCTTTAACGATAGATAATATTACATTTTGATAAACTAGAGCAAAATTCCTGGATTTTTCATAAACATGCTGTTATTTCTGCCATCTTAGAAAAACAGACTAAAGCAGTAACACACTAAAAACTCCTTCAGCTACTTTCCTAACAGCAAAACTCACAGGACTCGTCTATACTTGTAATCCTTCCATTTTCTCAGATGCCCACTCCAGTCAGGCTTTTGTCAGTATCTCCGTTCACCCTGTCCTTGACCTCCATACTATTCAGTACAGTGGCCAATCTTTTATATATATACACACGATAGCCCGATTCATGGAAATTAGTGCAAGAGTAGGCCTTCCTTACCCTGCCTGTCAGCTCCGGCTTTCTTCTGGCACCTGGGACCCTTACTGGCTTCCCCCAGGTCGCCCACAGGCACCCAGGACCCTAGCCAGCTTCCCTTCGGCCCCAGCTTTGTCAGGAAGGACATTCAGAAGGTTGTTCCGTTGTCCAGTCTAATTACCATATTACCCTTTTATTATTATGGATTTAAAAAAATTGATTTTAGAGAAGGGAGAAGGAGAGAAAAAGAGAGACATCAATGAGTGAGAAACATCAACATTGATTGGTTGCCTCCTATACCAGTACACCTGCTAAGGATCGAGCACACAATTCAGGCATATGCCCTGACTGGGAACCTAACTGGTGACCTCTTGGTACATGAATCTATGCTCAACCACTGAGCCACACCAGCCAGGCACAGTGATCAATCTTAAATTCTCATCTTTCTTGACCTCTTAGCAGCATTTGACACTGAATTCTTTGGCTTCCAGAATTCCACTCTGAGTTGTCCACCTACCCAACTGGCCACACTTCAGTGCTTTTTGGAAGTTCCTCCTCATTTCTCTTACCTCCAAGCATTGGAGGGTCCCTGGGCTACACGTTTCGGTCCACATTCATTTAGTAAGTCAATCCCATTACTTCAGAAACTATTGTTGAAACCTGAACCTTGAACCCTAGACTCAAATCTGGTTGCCTTCTTGACATCTCCACTTGGCTGATGTGACAGATTATATGGTTGTTCCCATTATTCACTGCCCTTATGTAAGAGGACTATACATCCCAGTTGAATAATCATCCCATTGCCATATGACTTGCAGTACCTCCCATTGACAGTAGGCTACGCCATGAAACAGGCTTTGGCCAATAAAATGTGAGCATAAGTGGCATATGCCATGTTTGAATAGGTATTTTACGAGCTATCGCACTATTCCACCATACTTGTTTTCCCTCTTTCCTGAGAATGGTATGTTTCAGATAGGGGCTG